TGTAATAAATAAATAAATAATGTGCTTGAGAGGATGAAAACTAATTTCAGTAAAGGCGGACCTGTAGGTGATTGATTCTGTGGAAGGCATTAATCTTGTTCTCACCATCTTCATGCCCATCAGTTTTTCTGAAGATGGTTTTAGCATTACATAGGGGCATTACATGTTTTAGGGACACAAAGTTTAGTCAGGGATTGGGTTACACCATGGACACCAGCATAGCTGTGGTTTGGATATATGGTGTCCATATTAATATTAGTAGTAGATTTTTTTTTGTATCACTTTTCAGATCTCAATAAATGGGGTCAAACTGACCCATATTTAATTACTGTGGAATTTGAACTATTGTTTTTCATTTTTCATAACTTATAAATAATGATATTATAAAATAATAATAACTTGACATTCCATAAATGACTTAAAAATTCACTAAATTTGCTAGTTTCAGGTTTTGTTTTGAAAAGGGTCAGTTCTGTATTTATAAAATGGTCTGTGTATTTAATACCAGACATTCATTCATTCATTAATTATTTCATTTATTCATTCATTCTTTCATTGATCCTAGATCAAATAAATAAGGCTGGGAAAATATATATATTTATTTCCTTTTTATTTTATTTTATTTTATTTTATTTTTTAATATTTCTTAAATATGTGATTTCATCATTTGATCGCTTTTTTTCATACTTAAACTACTAGTAAACATTTCGGCCAAAAATCCAAGAAACCACGGTGAGTTGGTGTGTTTAATCTTAGTTTTGTTCCCTCAATATATATATGAGTGTATATAAGTGATTTATGCTAGCTCTCTTTAAGGATCATAGCTAAATAATGCTATCTCATGTAAACAAACAGTAGTTATAGTGAATGTTTGGTTTTGTTTATGTACTTAGATGAGAGAGTGTTTGTGTATTCAGGGTGGAGGTTCATGTCAAGTAGATGACCATAGCTGTAAATCCACCAATCAAAGTGATGATACCATGTCCTTCTCTTGAAGTTTCAGCACAGTGGCGCTGAACGGTCCTAGGAGAGCGAGTTGGCCAATCCCCTAGATGACTGACGGAGATGTTCTGTCAGTCTCGTTCCTGCGTCCCATGAGAGCACTGGACCTGTTTCAGTTAATGAGCCCCAACTGCGCTAATGTGTGTTAAAATAGGACTATGTGATTCCCTGCTGCTCTAGCATCACAGCATTATGACAGGCACCGGTGCATCAGTAGCACTGTGGTACACTTCATTCTCCATGATTACACCCTTGGGCTTCAAGCATCGACACTACAACAGGTCCACGCGCCTGACATTCGAGGGAATATACTTTCGTTACAACACTGCAAGAGAACTTATTCACTCCGATTAGACTCACTGTGTTTCCTTGACCACTGTCATTGTTGTGCGGGAAAATGAAAAACGTGCAAAGCATATACTTGGGCTGTCAGTAGGATGGCATTTTCTTGTGAGATGTGCTTGAAAAGAAACTGTTTTGCCCTGCACCAGTTTTCTTGGTTGCCATCTTAAACACAATGTGGCTCAATTCAGCTCATCTGTAATGAAAAGCTCTTTCGGCTTTCAGCCTCTTTGCTATTATAGGGTACATAAAGTAATTTAGGGGGTGTCTTGTTGTGTGGAATTACTAGAATTATAAAATGTGAATCAGTAATGTGCATGTAAGACACCGCAAAGTTACAACCTCATTTAAATATTGCAGCGTACAGATTATTATTTTTTTTTACCATTTCTAGAGTAATACCCCAAAATTCTGTCATCATTTACTCACCTATATCTCACTCTAAACCCCCTAAGACTTTGTTCAATCTTTACCACACAAATTAAGATATGTTTATTGAAACCTAATGCTTTTGTCCCTCCATTGAAAGTCCAGGTAACTAAAACTTTGAAGATTCAAAAAGGTCACAAAGGCATTGGAAAACCAATCCATGTGAATCAAGCAGTTTAATTCAAGTTTTTTTGAATAGATATGATCACTTTATAGTATCAACAGATTTAATTTAGGCCTTTTTTACATCTAAACAATGATCAACACACATACAGAAACTTTTTTTCTCATTTTCTTTTACTTTTTATTTTCTTAATGATTTGAAAATGGCTAGTTTAATTACAGCAGGGCTGGGCAACTTCAGTCTTTGAGGGCCACAGTCTTGCAGAGTTTAGCTCCAACTCGAATCAAACACACCTGCCTGTAGTTTTTTTAGTGATCTTGAAGACATTGATTATCTTGTTCAGGTGTGTTTGATTAGGGTTGGAGTGAAACTCTACAGGACAGTGGCTCTCCAGGACCGAAGCCCAGCCCTGGGTTACAGGGTAGTGATAGACAGGACGCTATATCTGAGAAGCCACTGTGCAGGTTTCTCTTTGTGAGGTTTGGTTAGCAGTGACTGAAACACAGCTTTTCACAAATCTTTTGACAGTTCAATAATTTCTATTTGCTAAAATATTGTTTGTTTTGATGCCTTTTGCAAGACATTGCATTGTTTCATGCTTTTCATCTTCAGAAAGATCTTTCTTCCTCACCATATTGCATGAGAACTGTGACTTGCTTAATAATGTGAAATAACCTCTTTAAGTAGGGTTTCCATTTACCTAAGAAGACCTGGCAAACTATTGTACAAACCTGTCTGAGATTGATACCAGTTACCTGAAATGATGTGAAAATCAAAACAAACAAAAATCTCACTGTTTATTGTACCGAAATCCTATTGATATGTCACTTGCATAATAATTTGGAACACAGTGTATGTACCTCACATTAAACTCTGGAACGTCTTCAGAACACTTGGACTTTGACTTTATGGTGCTTTATAATGTTTTTGTGCTTTCGTGGGGCTTAACAATAACACAGAATAGTATACGCACAATATCGGATTTGGATTGGTCTCGTCTGACCAATACCTGATCCGACAGAAAATGCCAGTATCGGAGCCGATACCGATTCTGAGTATCGGATCAATGCATCCCTAGTCGCAACACAATGAAAACAAGCCGCAACACAACAGAATTACCAAAACACAATGGAAACAAGTCACAACACCTCAAAATTAGCACAACACAATTAAATTAGTCCTATGCGTTGTGCTGTGGCAATTTTGTTGTGTGTGTTGTGGAGATTTCATTGTGTTGTGCACTACTGGGTCACCATAGCTAAGAATGTTTAGCATTGAAATATGTTTAGATTGGCAATCGTATTTAGCTTCAGGTGCTGGTCGTGAACGTATAGTGACAAGTGACTGTAATGTGCTGCATATGTAATCGTCAAAAATGACTTTTCTAGCAGATGTTTCAGTGACATTGAGCTATGACTTATATTAGATTATGTAGATAATTCAATGAAAATTCATTGGTTTTCATCTAATCAGGGTCTGCATGTATTCACACAAGCTGTTTTGTGTTGTTGATGGCTCGAGTAAAATACATAAATTACTGGTCAGAGGCTCCTCCAAAAAATAAGAAGTGACTAAGCCATTACAGCATAAGCAGCAGACACACATATTGCATGCAGTCGTTTAAATGTTAATGATTTGGTTTGCAAAAAAAAGTTATAGTGCTAGTGACTCAGACCCATTTTTATCCCCTTCCCTCAGAGCTGGTAAGCTTGGTCGTTCTGAGCTGGAGAAGTAAAAAATAAAATAAAATACTTCATTGCATCAGATGTGCAATAAATAGCAAACGTGGACTAAGCTCTCGTAAACTATTCATACCTCCCCATACATCTGTTTCTTTCTCTCTCCCTCCCTCTTCAGGTCTGTCTTTCTTTGTGCTTGTAGAGCTTGTTGAGCCAAATCTGATATTTGGTAAATACTGCAAGTATGAGCTTACATTTCTTTGTCAGACAACATTCTGTTTTCTTCTCAGCTGATGCGATTAATGCTCACTACAATAAAGAAGCTGTACTACTGTGCTTTTCTTATCTGAGTAATTAACACTAATTCTGACAATCTAACAATCTATCTTGGTACATCTAAGCTTAGGGCAGGTGGGTTGTTATTGAGCAAATCATACAGAAGGGAGAAATATATATATATATATATATATACACAGATATCAATTTTTTGTATGGATCTTTTTCATATGTGGATGATTACACATGCTAATTACTTTGAAACTGGTGTGTTTTATGTCTGTCTGTGTTTGTTTTGTTGATGTGATGTTGGTTTACTTCTGCAGTTTTAAATTGACTCCATGTGGTTGTGAAATATGCTTGTACTTAATGGTTTTTCTTTCCTCTTCTCTAGGTTAAAACAATAGTTTACTCTAAAATGAAATACTATCAGCATTTTGTTGTTTTAATCCCTAATGACTTTGTTTCTTCTGTAAAAAGCGCAACAGGCGAAGTTCTGAGGACTGTGATGGTCGCTAGATGTAGTTACAATGAATGGGACCTAAAGCTTTCGAGCTTTAAAAAAAGACCTACATTCTGTTCATCACACTGAGTTATCGAATGGTTTCCGATTTCTTGGAATATAGCGCATGAGTCACTTGGACCAATTTTATGGTGCTTTGTTGAAGCTTGAAAGCCTTGGTTCTTTGTAATTGCATGCTTTGCTTTAGCGTTCCACTGAGAAAGAGAGAAGAAAGCGAACTACACTCAATAAATCCTGTCTTCTCTTCAATATTACAGGTTTACTGGTCCAAACCTGCCATCACCCATCATCAGCAGCAAAAACTGGCTGAGACTCCACTTCACATCTGATGGAAACCACAAACTGAAAGGCTTCAGTGCTCAGTATCAAGGTAAGAGATGGGCTGTCGTGGGACTGGTGCCTTGTGTTTATGTAACAAGACATTGAAACAGCTCAGGGGTTCTAGCTGTCAAGACTGAAAGAGGCTGAAAAGGAAGAGTTGGAGAAAGCGAAAGGCTAGAGATATGCCGGACCTTATTTACAACACGTTCTACAGAGCATCCTGCTCTTTGCAAGTTTTTTTTTTTTTTTTTAATTCTTTTCTTTTTTTATTGTATTTATTATTTTAATGAATCAATGAATGAATGTTATCTAAAGAAACGGTTTGATTTATTGTATATCATATAACAATTTCTTTATATAATTACATAATAGCTTTTCTTAACCAAATTTTAATAATCCAATATGAATTCTTTCTTGAGGTTCTTTCAGCCTTTGGAGAAAAAAAAAAAGTTAGGTCATTGACATTAGAACATGAGTGTTAACACATTTTACCATATTTAAATCTGTTTGATAGAGTTTTTCCCCATAATCAGTGCATAAAACCTGCGAAAAAGTGCAGAGTTTTCCCCCTGTCTGCAGTTAGAATTAAAGTCACATTATTTGAATCATCTTGGTTAAGTGTTATTAAGTCAGTTAAAGGTCATGAATACCCCCAACTCCTGACACACACACACACACACACCAGCTGAGCTACTAGCGGCACTCTCATCACACTCAAGTTCAAAGGTCACCACTCAAAGGAGATGAGCAGAGGGATGGGATTAGTCAGCTCAGCTACGGGAAACAAAGACGGAATCTGCAGGAATTTCACCTCCTCCATAAGCAGATCAGAGCGATGGGATTACAGGGCTGGAGTTTGATAAATAAATACTTTTAGAGTATCAGGAAGAAAGAAAGGGGAGCTAATCTCTTAATTAGATTTCACACTGACCTCTCTCCTTTTATTTTACCTCCCTTCCTCTCTCAACCTTTAGTGAAATGCTCAGGAATGAGTAACGTCCAATGAGAAGACACTCTTTACATAACAAGCTACTTTGCTTCCTCTCAGTCTTTTTTCAACTCTGTCCGAGATTAGGAATGGAGAAGAGAGGGTAAAGCGATTTTAGAGAAATACATTTTCATAGTCTTAGGGTTTTACAGTTAATGTCCCAAATGGAGCCAATAATAACAAAATGTTGATCTAATACACTCTGATGTTTGGACATTTTGTTGGCAACATACTTGTGTCCATCTATCTTGTCACGAATTCTATACTATGTTGGTCATTTATACTATTTTTTTTAAGGTTCCACCACCTTGACTTGAAAATATAAGGCGTTTTGTTTTGTTCTCCAGATATGTAAATTGAGAGCCCTCATAAATTCAGAGTTGAAAATACTTTTTGCAACCTGTTTTAAAACATTTATTTTGCCATTCTGTTGGCAAAAATAGAAAAAAAAATTACACACTTCACCTTTTAAGTAGTTGCGAATATTATTTAATCAATTTTCTTGATTTTAATTGACTTGTTATTATTTGGTTTTACTCTAAAACAGCTGATTGTGAATGGTAAATATCTCGATTACAAATGCTTACACAAATGCTGAGTTTCTTTTGAGAGCATTTAAGTGCCGAAGCTTTGAGACAATGTTACTGAAAACAATGACTGGATGTGTGTGTGTGCGTATGAATGCGTGCTGGCATTATTTTGTCGCTTTTTCAACAAACATGCTGCACTTTGTTCACACACAATAGGCTTTTTTGCACAAGAATGACAGCTTCTTTGAAAGACTGTAATTGTAATTACAATGCGGTTCATGATGTGTAATGCCTAGCAAGCATCTGGCCTATGATTATAATTTTTTCAGCTTTTTCTAATCCTTCCTGCTCTCAAATAAACATGTTATAATTCTTTTGACTTCCAGTGAAGAAGATGACAGAACTGAAGTCCAGAGGGGTGAAGATGCTGCCAAGTAAAGACAATCACAGCAAGATATCAGTTTGTAAGTCAACCTTTCCATGTACATGAAGGACATTTTCCTAAATCAACTTTACGTTTACATTCATGCACTTGGCAGATGCTTTTATCCAAAGTGATTTGCCTACAAGGTATACTTTATCAGTTCATGCATTCCCTGGGAGTTGAACCCATGACCTTGGCATTGCTAGTCTACTGTTTGAGCTACAGGAATACTATATCTCAGTTTGTTTAATTTTCTGTAATGATAACAGTATGTACTACATTAATTTTGCTGAAAAAAATCAACATTACAGTGTAATTGAGAGCTGTCAATTTTAACATTTATTAGACTTTAAAAAAGTAACGGCTTCTAATTTAAGTGAACTTAAAAACAATCTTCACATAAACCCATTATAATAAATGGGTTTAGCTACATATTTAGCTAACTGTGCCCTTCAGCAAGTTGGAAATATACTGAAAATTGAATAAAGTTATCAAACACTAAGTTCTAAATCAAATATATATGAATCCTTAAAGCTACAACAGTTATTGATTTCTTTTTTCTTTTGTTCTTTGATTAACAGACATCAAAGCAGCTGGGTTATTAGGTTTTTTGGCTGCTGTTACTTTAAGAGCTGAACGTGATGCGACGCGGATCTGACACGCATCGTATTTTCTCACAGTGTGCTGGTGCATTTGTGTGTGCAATTGAAGAGCATGCGCTGCCAGCACAGTTTAACAGCTGACAGGACAGGAAAATTAATTTTTACTGACATATGGCCTGACAAAATCTCATCTGACCGCAGTTCACTGTGGTTCTACGAAAGATCCTCGTCACCTATACCGTTTCTGTGCTCATTTGACTCGCGCCTGGTGAAGTGGATTGTGCGTCTGAAAAGTATCATGTTTTATGTAGTCATAAAGACATTCTGTGTCTAAATAAACACAATTCTTGTCAAGAAAAAAGAGTGGGGTGGCCAACTAGCTCCACCTCTGCGTTAAATATTTTTAACGTCGTTAAAGTGAAAAGCAAGTATGAGTGAACCAAAACAAAACATTCACAACTGGAATCTTGGTTGACCTTAAAATATATATCAATTTACATCCAAATCTTTTTTTTTTTCAACTCTGTTGAACATTTTAAGGTTTTTAAGCATCGCCAGCATGCAGATTGTCCACTCATTGGTGAAAGCAGTGGCACTTGCAGCATGTCCTCACGCTCGGCACAAGCACACAACCTTGAACATTAACGTTATCTTTATTCTACGCCGTGTCAATTGGAGACAAATGGAGCTATTTTTCTCCCTAAGGCCAGAGGGGAGGGAAAATAAGTTACCGTTTCCATTGTTGGCAAACAGAGAAAGAAAAAGCTTATCGAGGAGGGGTAATTGCACTGTGTGCTGAGAGGCTTCTTCAGCCTGCTTTCTTCTGTTATGCCATCTTTATTTACATTTCTATTACCTCTGCATCATTGTGAGAAAATGTCAGCCTGCCCATGTGAGGATGTGCCTATTGAGGGTGTCATCAGGGATCCCAGTACCATCACCGTGGCCGGCAGTGTCTCAATGGCAGCGCTGACAAGTTTGGCCTTTTGTCCCACATCAATATGCATGAGTGCCGGCACCCAGGCGCGCCTCGGCCAATCAACATGTGTCACTTCAGGTTTTCCCTTCACTATCCTCTCCTGCCTCCTAGCTACCTATTGCAGAAAGCGAGGCTGCGGCCAACCTGCTTGACCCTGAGTGTCATATCCACTTCCTGCGGGGCTGGATGAGCTTGTGTGTTTTGATGCCAGAGAAAATTTTGTGCTCGCATAATGATGTCTGAAAATATCTTGACATTCTGAGGAGGGCTTGATTGATTATTTTGTTCATTCAATAAACCTCCTGGGCAGGCTGTGTAGACATTCAAATACACTTATAGATAGCCTTGCTCTCTTCACAAGGTAAATCCATGCTGATGTTCAGACCAACTGCACAGTTGTAATTGTGATGCTGCTTTTATGCAGCAGGTCAATAAACCAGATGGTAATCTTGAGTATCTTAGATTTTAGGCAGAATTTGGCATTTTCTCACCCACCAACAAAAATAGTAGGGCAAGATGAAAGAAGAAGCCCTTTTAAGAACAGTGTTTTTATTGGGTTTAGCAAGGATGTTGCATCTTTCAGTATAGGGACTTAAATTGAAACATGATAATTTAGTTCATAGTGCACAAAATTGAAAATTATGAAAAAGGGTAGGATGGCACCCTACCTAGGTCAAGAACCTCCTTGGAGTAAACTCATCCTCACTGTCATCTTTTTTTTCCCTCCAGAATATGTAAAATGTACTATTTGTATTCCTTTTTATTATTTGTTTTTTTTTTTCAAACAGCATGATTGCAAAACATTAAATAAAATAATTATTAGGAATTCTGTGAATATTCTATGAAAATGTATGAATTTTGAAAATTAAGTTAAACAATAATAAATCAGTTAACTCATTAAAATATGCACATCTGAATTACACTATATAATTATATGAATTACGTATAGGCCTATATTTTGAATTGAAGGGATGTCACGATAGCAATAAACTATGAATTCATTTTGAATGGTTCCACTCAATTGGCCTCAATTAGGTTATGATGAATAATAAAAATGGTTAAAATGTACATCTAAATCATATAATAATTTCATGAATTATAATACTTAAATAACAAAGATGCTCAGAGTGAAGACCAAATTGTAAAATTATTATTATTTATATATATATATGGGTAAATGTTAAGAATTCGGTATTCATTGAGAAAAATTATGGTTTTGTGCTCTTTAATGTTTATATACAGACACAATGCAAAAAATATTAAATGTATATTTAATATATGTACTGTGTATATACATTTTTACATTTTAAAATATTTGCATATTTAATTTCCATACAATCGTTAAAATTAACATTTGTTTGCACAATGTGTACATAACTATTTTTGCATGCTTATTTTTTTTTGCATTTTACTGCGTACAAAAAAGTAAAATATTAACACCATATATATATCATAGACTGTATAAAAACATATATGCACACACATACATAATGTGTGCACATAAATATTTTACATCTGTTTTGCATATTAATTTATAATGCAAAAAATTGTTCCGTACAAAAATTTTAATGCACACCTATTTATTTATTTTTTTACCTACATGATATTTGTCAATTAACCATCATCAAAGAACTACGCACATGTAAATACGTTGTTAAATGATTGAAATATAAACTTTACGTCAAAGGGGTTCAACTAACAAAAAAGTTAGGGAAACCCTGTTATTTACCAAGTATTTGACTTAAACTGTTCACTAAAAAACGATATTTGTCATCATATGAATAAACCTCACAAATGTTGAGTCAAGATTCATAAACGTATAACCATTAAATATGTGTTTTTTTTTATGATATCCATGTTTAAGAGAAAAATGAAAAGCAGGGCTGTTTTTTTTTCTCCCGTTTTGTCATTTGCAGTATCACAGATGGGGGTGGCGCAAGGACACAACATGTGTCCAGACCCAGGAATCCCAGAGAGGGGCAAAAGAAAAGGCTCTGATTTCAGGTGAGAAATGAGTTTATGGATTACTTATTAAAATAGTCCACTGAGAGGACATGGAGGAGAGAGGGAAGAGGAGTGCAGTTAATTTAGTGTTTGTAATGCCAGAATGATGAATAGCAAGAGATGCAGGAGGTGGGCACCTGTTTAATTTCTCATTGGCCTTTTAATTCTCAGGGCTCAGGGAGGATATTTGATCAGCATAAACATGGGCTGTGGGCTCCCAAAGGTCACAACAAGAGGGGAAGGAGAGAGAGTGAGAGAGAGAGACATGGAAAGAAAGAGAGGAAGTAATTTTCCTCTAGGTGTTATTATATTTTGTTTTTGGAAAACAGTACAAATATGTTTATTGCATTTTTTTATCAGTCAGTTCAAGACCGTTTAAAATTAATTTTGGTTTTGTCATTATTGTAGAGTTATAGTGAATATGATTTTTAACAAGATGAACAAGAGTAGGAGGAATAGCTTTAATGACAGAATTAAATTCCTTAAAATGCACAGGGAAACTGTGGATTCGCATGAATTGTTCATAAGTTAAAAGATTCCCATAATTATCAAACATATTCATAAGATGATTAATATCCCTGTTAAACCAGTTCCTTAAAAATAAAGATTTATTGGCAGTCGTTATATTGGCATTATTCCAAATGAAGGAGGTGTGAGGAGAGAAACTGTGTGAGTAGCAAATTTTCCAGGCTAAAAGCACTTGCTGGTGGAGATATCAGAATCATTGTTTTTGTCTCACCATTACAATGATGTCACTTCCTGGAGTGTGATGTCATTAAGAATTTTGCTATTAGTTAAAGGCATATTGCAAAAGACTAAGGGATAGTTAACACAAAATTGAAAGTTTTGTCACACATACTGACCCTCATGTCTTTCCAAACCTGTATGACTTTCAGTCTTCTGTGGAACTACTTCTCTCTCTCTCTCTCTCTCTCTCTCTCTCCCTCTCTCTGTGTGTGTGTGTGTGTGAGTGACACAAAGTGTGACATTAATTAGTAACGGGAACTGCAAATAATGTCATAATATTTTAAACATGTTAATGACTTTTTGTTTTTTAACAATTTCAGAGAAGATATAAAACAATCAAATTCCACTAAAACTACCTTAAATATTGGGGATGAATGTAAGCATTTTTGTTTATGTATATAAAATTTTGCCAGCAATATGAATAAATTAACAATTGTGGAACTACTTCTCTCTCTCTCTCTCTCTCTCTCTCTCTCCCTCTCTCTGTGTGTGTGTGTGTGTAACCAAAACATTTTGGTTCCTATTGACTTTTGTTATATGGACTAAAAAATATTCATAATAAATAAACAAATAAACTGTTTGGTTACATTCTTCAAAATAGCTTATTTTATGTGCTGCAGAAGAAAGTAAGTCATACAGGTTTGGAACAACAAGAGGGTGAATGAATGATGACAGCTTTTTTTTTTTTTTTTTGGTGAACTATCCCTTTAACAGAATAAAACAGATATTGAGGACAGTGAAACAACTTTTATTAAATTTATTAAATTACATTTATTAAATTAAAACTATATTTACAAGACAACATGTCAGAGAAAGGGGAGAAATGAAGAAGAAGAAAAAACACATGCAATATGTGAGATGTTGGGAAATAGCAAAATGGCAACATTTTCCTAAACCAAAATAGTAAAATTAATAAAAAATTAACTGCTTTATTTACCTAATTGTCACGGTAACTATCTAATATGATTTCAATCTTAAAACATTGTCTTAAAACGATAGCTCACCCAAAAATGAAAAGTCTGTCATTAATTACGCAACCTCATGTCGTTCCAACCCGTAAGACCTTCGTTTATCTTTGGAACACAAATTAAATCCGAATAAATACAAATAAAATCCGAGAGCTTTCTTTGCACACAAAAAGTATACTTGTAGCTTAAGGTTGAATCACTGATGTCACATGGACTATTTTATCGATGTCCTACCTTTCTGGACCTTGAACGTGGTAGTTGCTGTCTATGCAGGGTCAAAAAGCTCTCGGTTTCATAAAAAAAAAAAAAAATCTTAATTAGTGTTCCGAAGATGAATGTCCTTATGGGTTTATAATGAGGGTGAGTAATGACAGAATTTTCATTTTTGGGTGAACTATTCCTTTAAAACATGTCATTCAATATATTAAGACATAAATGAAGGGGGCAGTAGGAATGCCCTGGGATAACCATCATTTATGATAGAAAAAGAAGACAGCGAGGGAAGGAGATTGAAAATGAGACAGAGGTCCGGACCTATTTAATTGACTGGGGACAGAGCAATAGTAGTGTCATTTCCAGGCACAGTGCTGCTACATAGCGGCCTGCGGTGCAAGTTAGGCTGTCAGCGTCCCCCCGCAGGGTAAATGGCAGCGCCCCAGAGGATTCTAACACAGATAAATGAGGACAATCCGTTTTACACTCACTAGCTCTCAGGGCAATCGCAGCGGGGAAGTAAAAGACAATCGAAACTTTTTTTTACTGGAATGTTCTTAGCTCCGGCTACCTGAGCACCCCTTCATCAGCGGCTAGGTAATGGAAGCGCACAGCCATGCATCTGGAAGCGCACATCGCAGTTTCCCAAAGGCTGTCCATTACCGAGATCAGACAGGACCACTGCTGCCGGGCAGGAGAGAGGGGGTATTTATGCTGACATGCTATTTGATTTAGCCATGAACAGATATCAGCTCACATGTGAGATGTTGAGAACTTCTGTGAAAGGCTTGAGTCGTCCGGCATCAGCATTTTGTACAGTTGGAAAAGAAAGCAGGGAATGATAGAAGATGATGTTTTTCCCCTCTCTTTCTTTTCCAAAGGAGATTAATAGAATTATATATGAAACCCAGTTGAATCTGATTCATCAATCGCATCATTCTGCAGTCAGATAACTGCATACAATGACTGATAAACTGCATAATTGATCATTATCCCTGACTATCAATCTCCTGTGCTAGTTTCATGTCTCTTGTAGCACTGCTTTCTTTCTCACAAAATGTAATAATTTCAACTAATATCAATATTTCATGTCAATTTATTTATTCATCTGCTAAGCAGCTGTGTAATAAGTAGGATAATGTGCAGCCAGCCGGTCATTATCGCTAAATAAACTTCCACATCGGGGGCCTGTCGAGATTAATTTTGCCATAATGACCGACTGACTGTACATAATGTACATAATGTAGAATTTCTAGATGTATGGGTTGGTATTCTTGCAAAATAATAGTCTTTTCCTCTTGCAGGCGGGGTGCTACTGTGCACTTTTCTTGTGACGAAGGTTACGAGCTTCAGGGGTCTAAAAGCATCACCTGCCTGCGAGTTACGGACAGTTATGTTGGCTGGAGTGATGACCGGCCTATCTGCAGAGGTATGTCACTGTGGAAACATCTTTTATTTATTTATTTTTTTTTCCTCCAGGTTTTACCTTTGTTCAAAATTGTTCACAAGGTAATCAAATTATTAAACTTGTTTTATTAAGTTTTGTTTTGTTTTGTTTTGTTTGATTTTGTTACACAATCCAACCATTTTGGCACCTACCTAATTTGGTTATCTTGTATAAAGTGATAGGTTTTGAATTTACACACACACACAAAATATAGATTTTAGGCTGAACAGATCAAGGCCTATGACGTCAATGATAGAATGTATTGATAGCATTTTTTCTTTCCTTTTAAAAGTTGGTAGGTCTATTTTTTTTCTATTTGTATTATGATTTTATGGTTAGATGCATTTTATCATTTTCATTTTGCATTGCTTATTTCCTGCTGTTCATGACCCCATCAGAACAAACTAGAACCTCTGAACTAAATGAACTAATGCAAATTAACCCCATTCATGTGCCCTAATAAAGTCTCATGCCGTATTTACAACAAACAAATTTATCTCAGCAGATTTAAGCCCTTTTGTTTAACAAATGGTTGAATTATTTGAAATCTCAGCGTAAAGTTAAAGGGCCTTGATTAATGGCCTGACAATGAAAGAGGACAATGAGGGAAAAAAGCAAGAGATGAGAGAGAGGAAATGGAGAGGATGACAACAGATCTTTAAAGCAGATTTCCTAAGGAGGAAGAGATGTTATCGCTCAGCCAGTAATCAGCTTATTTAGCCTCACCAGGCACCGATTAATTACTTTATTGAGCCTTACTTAATTTCTGACTTTGATTGGCTAGGACAGCCCCCAGGACTTCATTCCTGCAGCAACTGTCACATCCCCAGAGAGATGCTGTCCACCATACTGCCACCTTTGCCTTATGCCGTAAATTGAACTGCGAGTCTGGCATTTAGTTGTGGTACCAACGCCATGCATCTTAACTACATGCAGCACAACCTGTCAGTGGCATGGTACCGTAAGAGAATATACAATGGGGTCCAAAGCTGGAAATAAAAAAGTATTTATTTATCACTGTATATATTTTTTAGTTATATTTATTGTATGTTATATAGTTATATTTAGTGGTATTTTTGTATTATATAATTTATTATTGTTATTATTATTGATAGTTTAATATTAAATTATAATTTATTACATACATTTAAAAAAAAAAACAAAAAAAATCTGTTAAAAATGTGGTGTCAGTAATATTTTTCATTTATTTGTTTGTTTTGGAAAGAAATAAAGGTTATGGCTTCCTCAAATATTTTAAAAAGCTCAACTGTTTTCATCATTGATGTTTCTTAAGCAGTAAATCAGCATATAGAATGATTTCTGAATGATCTGGAGAAATGATGCTGAAAATTCAGCTTTACCATCACAGGAATAAATTACATGTCAAATTATATTACAATAGAAAAGAGTTATTTTAAATTGTAATAATATTTCACAATATTGAATATTAAAAAAAGTATTGATTGTTGAAAAACATAATACATAATATGTGCCATTTAAAAAAAAAAACACAAAAAATCTGTTAAAAATGTGGTGTCAGTAATATTTTTCATTTATTTGTTTGTTTTGGAAAGAAATAAAGGTTTCTTATCTATCAAGGATAGTGGGCGACCGATATATCGCCAAGGCCGTGTAATGACTTTGATTACTTAATTTTAACTGTAATTGTAGGGAATTAATTATTATTAATTCATTCAGGTTTTGAGAGGACTCGGATCTGATTAAAGGATCTGGGACTTGCACAAGAAATCTATAAAATACATTTGTGTCTTTTGTATTGGCTATTTAGAAGTCAAATCAATCTTCAATCCTTAATAGAACCTGAAATACACAATATATCATGAGCAATGAGTTTTGTTTGTTGAATATTGAAGTCTTAACGGCCATTTAATGCTGATTGTTGGTCCAGTGGCTTGAACTAACTCTTTGAACTGAATCACTGTCTATTTTTTTTTTAACTCCCCAGTATTTCATTCAGTCTATCACAGGCTTTTTCTGACACTTGAAATGTGCATTGGGAAATCCAGGGTCTTGGAACTGTTAGCCTGAATCTAATTTGATCAAATTCAGCCTGAATTAGGTGAACTTTAAATAATTGTTATTGCAGCAGTGTCCTTTCAACTTAAATGCACTTGAACTGTTTCACAGCTGAGCCCCTGCTAATACTGTAGATATCTTCTTCTAATAGCGTGGTTATTATGTTGGAGAGTATGTTGGTTCATTTTTGATTTTGAGTTATAATCCCTGCAGTCCCTTCAACATTATCTTGGTACCAAGTTCCTTGAGACCAACTCTCAGAATGTTCACTTTTTGTGTGTTTTATTTTATAACCCTAAACTAACATTTCCAAAACATTGCAGGGAGGTTATTTTACATGACAGCCTAATAAGAACTTATGCAGAATGTTAACTAATGTTTTTTTTGTTTGTTTGTTTGTTTTATTTTTATAACCATTAACTAACATTTCCAGAACTCCAGATGTTGTGTGTGGGTGTGACAATCTAATAATACCTTGAAATGTGATCTAATGGTCATTTTTTGTTTTATTTTATAGACAATAACTTTAAATTTCCAGAATGTTGCAGTTAAGAATAGGTGACGCCCATATTCCATATTTCATTTAATTTGCCATAAACGAATATTTCCAGAACTGTGCAGGTAAGCTTCTGTGTGACAACTAAATGCGAATTTACATGGAATGATGCAGTTAAATTATGCTTTTTTTTTAAGAATGTGATCTAATGTTGTTTAGTTTTTTACCAAAAATTAACATTTCCATAATATTGCAGAAAAATATGTGTGGCAACCAAATAAGAACTTCTATACAATGTTATCTAATGGTTATTTTTATTGGTCACCCTTCATTTTAAGGTCCATTTTAACTAACTATTAACTACAAAATTAGCCTCAATCAACTCATAATTACTGATTATTAATAGTTAGTAGGGTAGTTGTTAAGTTTAGGTATTGGGTAGGATTAAGGAATGTAGAATACGATCATGCAAAATATGTGCTTTATAAGTACTGATATTTTTATACTAGTTTTACTAGTTTTATACTAGTATTTTTATAACCTCATATTATAATCATACATACAATATTAGTTAGGATGATCCCAGAAGTCCTCTCATTGAGAATTTCTTAGACCCAGATATGTATGATGATTGACAAAAATGCTATCAATGATTGTGCTTTATTAGCAAACCTATAAAGCATCAAGCTGCAGACAACACACATTATGTTGTGAAGGTGAAAATTGGGGTCAGCCGGCCCTGATGTTAATTAACTTTCCAAAGACTTTTGTTCTTTAATGTCAGCCCACCTTAAAGTGTTTGAGGAAACTTTGCGAGTGTGTGTGTGTGTGGCAGGGGAGGCCCTGAGGAGCTCACCTCAGACATAGCTCATTAAAAGCTCCAGTTGGTCCCAGACCTGCAGAAACATTCATTTAGTGCAAACACGCTGGCTGTGCCCTCCCTTCTCATTAGACATCGAGTGCTTTCATTCGAGGAGGTATTTCAAGTCCTCCTGGAGGCTGCGTGAGTGTCGCTTTAACTCCGAGAAAAGTCACAGAAAAGTCAAGCACTCAACAAGTCATCGGTAAGGTCATTGAACATTCAGGTCACAATCCGGTCCAATCAAAACCAACAACTTGAGATAGGTAACAATAATCACGTGCGAAATATTGACTGCAGCCGAAGGCTAAGCCTGTATACGTGTGCTTTTTTAATAATTTAAGATTTTGTTACATTCCGTCTGTAGGCCCACAACCCAATCACAACCTTTGAAAGTGGTATGAATAGGGTATAGTATGAGTGATATCTAGAAAAATAGTTCTTGTGAGTCTGTCTGTTGAACTCAACAGTTTTTGTGGTCCTCTTGCTTTTCGTTTTAGGTTTACTCTATAGTGACTAAACTAAAACTTTTCCTGGAGCTAAACTAAACAACTACACTTAACTTAACTTCACTTCACTTAACTTCACTTAACTTTTAATATTTTATTTTATAAAATATATTTAATATTTTGTCATATTCTTTCTGACAGTAATGACATGTCAATAGATGGAGCTGAAAATCAGTTTAAAACCACCTTGTAGTCTTGTAGTTAATTCTTTATTCATTCAGTTGATTTATAGATTTGCAAACAGTTATTATAAGTATTTGACATTGCTACATATTATTGTTGTATCTGACAGCAAGAGAACACAACTCAACTTATTTAGTCAAAAATAGAATTTCTCTGTAGAAAAACTTTTTTTTTTTTGTAACTGTTTTTTTCCCATGTTTGAAGTATCAGTGACTAAAAATAAAATTTTGCTATTAAATATGGTGACTTAAGGAGAACTGTTGGGATTATAGACACCAAACCTTCTTGCCAAAACCTTTACTCATGTTTAGCTTTTTGGGAATTAGCTGAATATCTAATGACTTAAAGGGCATATAGGAATGTATGGGAAACCCTTTAAATGATTAATTATTAAATTTGGGGGAAGTTGTGGCCTAATGGTAAGAGAATCGGACTCATAACCCAAAGGTTGCAGGTTCGAGTCTCGTACCGGCAGGGATTGGACTTTCAGTATAGTGCAATAACATTTCTTTCTATTCTATTGTTCAGATAACTGTTACTGTGATATTTGGTGCTGAAGTGTTCTTTCTCTCTTTTTTTTCCTCTTAAAAGCCTCAAATCTTTCATAGATGAGATGTTTCACTCCTTGAAGAGTCAAACTGCATGATTTGTCTCTCTTCTTTCAGCTCCTATGTGTGGCGGTCAGCTCCGTGGCCCGAGTGGCATCATCACCTCCCCAAACTTCCCAGTACAGTATGACAACAACGCTAACTGCACCTGGATCATCACAACTTCGGACCCTTCCAAGGTAAATGCTTCCAAAAAACATACCTAGAGTATTCATATGGGCTCTGCACGCTGTGGAAGCATACATAGCTTCACACTTGAGTATTAGAGAATGTCATTTGAAGTGAAATAATGATTAGGCCCAGGCAAAACCCATAGACTTTTTTTTTCGCCTTTTCTGTTCTGATTTAATGGTAAAATCTGATTTAAACACAATAAAATGCACACTAGCATTCAAAAGATTGGGGTCAGTGAGTTTAAAGAAGTGTCTTAAGCTTACCATGGAATCATTTATTTGATCAGTAAAAATAGTAGTATTATGTAATATTATTATACCTTAAAAGTATTGTTTTTTCTATATTAATATTTTTAAAATGTAATTTATTAATGTGATGACAAAGCTGAATTTCAGCAGCAATTACTCCAGTCTTCAGTGTTACAAGATCCTCCAGAAATTATTCTAATATGCTGATTTGATGCTCAGTAAACATGTTTTTGTAACATTATAAGTGTCTTTACTGTCACTTTTAAACAATTTAATTTGTCTTTTCTGAATAAAAGTAATACAAAAACAAATCTTACTCACCCCAAACTTTTGAATATTAGTGCACAACATAGAGCTAATGTTATTGGAAACTGAAGGCATTTTCAAATTAGCCAAAATATTTAATAAACAAATACACAGGGGACAACTTTGTCAATTTTCCTAAGGAAATTTAAAGAGTTTTCTGTGGGCACAGTTTCCATGTGGGCCTGTTAATAACTGCAGGTTGCAGGGGAAAGGATACACAGATATTGAGAGATGATGTTCAATATCCAGCTATCTGCACACTCATAAAAAAATGAACCACTGACGGTTATGCTAAAGCAAAATGGAAGATAACGAAAACTACATTCGAGCAGCTATACCATGGTAGAGACAAAAACTGGCGCTGTCTGTGTCATGACTTTGGCGTCGAGTTCAAGGCCATTTTCTTACTCGCTTGCCAGATTTTCGTTATCTAGTTTCAAATAAATGGCTTTACAAATCTCACCCCTCATCACCATGACTCAGTTGGGAGAGAAGGGGAGCGAGAGATGGAGGGCAAATGGAACGGGGTAGAGCGGCTCTATCAGTGCCCCCTGCTTTTTCTCTGACGCCCAGTGCGCTATTTCATCCTGTGTGTAAAGGACAGTTCTGCTTCACACTGTCACGGCTGGAGAGCGGGGCACAGATGAAGATGGAGCTTTGCTGTTTTTGCTCTTTACAACCAGAATGACATTCTATTTTCGTTCTGACACAATAGTACCCGGAAAAAACGTGAGGTTAGCTGTGAGACTGAGGCAGAACCGGGGCCGTATGAAATGCACCTGACAATGAGCTTTTGATTTCACTGCAGCTGGTTTGCTGCCTGAGCCAAAGACTCTCCCAGTGTGGAGAGACCCCAGCAGCTGTTAAAGCCTGTAGCATCACAGTTAGCTGTGAGTTTGACATCATTTAGCATTTCTTGATGCATAATGAATATTTAAAGGGGAAGTATTTATTTTTTGTGGTTGAAGCAATATATATATATATATATATATAGATATAGATAATCTATATCTATCTATATATTTATTTAATTTTTTTTCAGTTTCTATTACTGCTGAAATGATGTACTTATGTACATATACTATTGTTCAAAAGTTTAGGCCGGTAAGATTTTGTTTTCGAAAGAAGTCTCTTATGCGCACCAAGAATGCATTTATTTGATTCAAAATACAGTTAAAACAGTAATATTGTGAAATATAAAATAACTGTTTTCAATTTTAATGTATTACAATAATTTCAATCAATTCCTGTGATGGCACAGCTGAATTTTCAGCATCATTACTCTAGTCTTCAGTTGTTACCTGATCTTTGTTGATTTGCTGCTCAAGAAACATTTATTAATATCAATGCTGATCGGTTGTGCTGTTTATAATTTTTTAGAAAACTATGATGCATTTTTTTAGGATTCTCTGATGCATACACTGTAAAAAGATTAATCATGGGTCTTGTAATTTTCATTTAGAAAATTAAGGTGATTAAAAATAGTGCGTATATTTTATTAAAGAAATTGTGGTTCAGTGTTGTATAGAAATTAGAAAATATTGAGAACAATTCACTAATAAAACCACAATGTGTGTCCTCATTTTTTAAGGAAACTTGAGCAGTTTTGAGGCTTGAACTGAGAACCTTATCAAGCTGAAAACAATAATGAAAGAAGGCTGCCTATTTATTTTAAGAGAATTGGCTCAATTATGCCGTTTTATTGTGGCGGTGATTGTTAATTCCCAGCATGCTTTGTATATGGCTGGATATGGAGATTAAATATTAAAATTAAGTGCTATGTTATGTTATTTTGAGTGAAGAGAAACATCTGTTAATGTTTAATGTTCAGTTCTCAATCTTTTGCAACATTATAAATATATTTACTGTTACTTTTGATCAATTTAATGCATCTTTGCTAAATAAAATATTAATCTCTATCAATAATAATAAAACCATAATAATAATAATCTTGCTCATACCAGACTTTTAATAGTAGTGACTGAGATATATGTACATTACAAATTATGTACATACTATAGCATAATTTGGATGGGCCTTTAAAAGAACATGTGGTTTAAACCACAGGCCCTGTCATTTTATTCCAAACATGGTAAAAATCTTATTTCCATCCTTAAATGCCATTAACACAAAAAAATACGTTGACATTTGGTGGATGAATTTAATAAACGACTGAAGCGCTTATATGAAGTGCAAGGGAAATGTAATGACATTTGGTTAGCAGTGTGATATGTTTAATCAACTAAAACAAGTAACACACTGGAGTTCAGACGGAGCCGAGTCTGTAATGCCTCAGTACCAGATTCCCCGGAGCTATACTTAAAGATGCTCTTGCTACTCAAAGATGTCCATTCTATTTATGTCAACCCTGGTGCCTAATGACGAGTGCTGGAAAACGGCTGAACTTGGAACTAATAAATGAATGAGAGAAACAGATAGAACTCTGCAGGGAAGGCAGCATGTGGAACCGCACCAGGCTGAATCCCCCACTCACAGACAAACATTAGCTCAGAGTCTAGACACTGCGTTTCTGCCTTAGAAGGAGGATCCCCAGAAGGCATAATAATAGAGAATGAGTTGTTCATGAGAAGACATGGCTGATTGCTTTTGTTGTCCTCTTCTTTTTTAATTATCAGTCCTTCTTTTGTTCTGTGCACTATCGTCATTCAGCGGACTGGTATTATCTGCTACTCCACTTCTGCAGGGACTTCCGTTTTGACAAAAAGCCTCATTCCTCCAACAAGTCCCGCTCCCTGCTATGTAGTCTTTGAGCATTATCGCTCTCAGCTGCAGAACAGTAGTCACAATGTCTTTTGTCTGAGAGCCTCAGGAGTGATTTATTCCTATTTATTAATTAATTTATATATTCTATGCTGTTATTTGGTTTGTCAGTATTTCTCTCTCTCTAACAGTCACAGTTGTCGTATTTATTTCATTTGTTTTTATTATTATTATTTTTTCGAGCTCATCAGCTCAGCTTTCTGTGGTCACTGGGATATTGAAACTGTTAATATGGCTCAAGAAAAATATTGCACTCTTTTTACTTAGTGAGAGTTGGGGTAAGTTGTGCCACTCTCTTCAAAGAGAAAGAAGGTTAAACTAGTACACCTAATTACAGTATATAGCAGGATATATTGCATGGTATTTTACACCATGTATGAAATATGGTGATAAAAATATGACTTCTCCAAAAAAAGAAAAACTTGTCAGAATAAATGAAAGAAAAAGAAAAGATTATTATTATTGTTAATGATGTAGTGAAGAAAAAAAATCTACATTGCAATAGTGTTTGTAATAGTTATTATATTTACAATAGTATTTTACAAATGTAATGTAATATTTGCAATGTATTTTTTACTTACACATTTAAAGACAAATATGCTGAGAGAAATATAAATCATACGTTATCACATTTATTAATGTTTTATTAAATCATGAAATATTTACATAATAAACATTGCTGTACATGACACATGTACAATTCAAAAACATGTTATTTAATGAATTAGTATTATTATTAGTAGTTGTAGTAATAGTCAAACAAATTAAACAAATATGCTTAATGTTTCATGTGTAATATTTAGCTAAATAATACACCTGGTTTTATAAATGTCAAATGATCAACATGCATGACACATATTTGTCTAAATACTTAAGTTTGCTCACATATAAATTTAATTTTACCTGTCATGTAGAATATTTGCTTTTGCTTTGGGGCAAAAAAAAATCCTCAATCACAGGCAGCTGTATGTAATGTAATGTAATCACATGCTGATAATTGTGCAAAGTTTGCTAAATTAAGAGGCTAATCTTCGTCCTCTATGCAATCATTTGATGACTAAACATTATCGAATCACTTTCTGTAATGCCTTATTTGTTCTCCGAGTCCTGTTGTGTGACTTTCTATAAAGAAGGTTTTAGTGTGGCATGATGGTCACGTTTCATGCTCTGCCTCAAGAGTATTGACTTGCTGGGATCCGCCTGTGCATCATAATCACTCAGTGAGTCAGCCAAGGATCGCCCCGCCCACAGCGCTGTCACTCACCATCATACATACTGTACAGGATTCACCCGAGGTGGGCAGCACGCCCTCCGTTGAGGGGGAGGATTGAGAAAAGAAAGGTTCAGAGGAGGTAAAGGAAGATGAAATCTTGTTCACTGCCGGTGTGAACTAGAATGCTGCCACTCCACCTCTGGCACGCTTTGTTGCGGAGCGTGTTTACCATAGGACAGAATGCAATTTGCATTTATATAAGCTTTTTCATTAGGAGATGGTCTCCAAGCACTCCAAAAACATTAAGAATTTGGTGGAAATGTGGCAGCCAATTTGAAAAGTGACAACAGACTGCACTTCTTTTGTTTATTTTGATACATACTTTTTACTGTTTATCAGCAATAAACCTTCATATTTAATTTGTACATCTTTCCATAACTCATTCTTTTCTCCTTTTGTATAAAAAAATTCTGCAGTCTTGTTTTCATCTTAGAGAAGAATGAGAAATATGCACCTTTGACTCTTCATTTTCCTAAATCAAATGCATAAATTATTTCTTTGTTTTCTCCTACAACTGCAGAAAGAGTTTTTTTCTCCTCTGTTAGCTCGTGTGTGCAATCTGAAAATTACTGATTTAAAAAATATTATGAAATGTCTGGTGTTATAATTAGGTTGCTCATCCACAAGAAAACTACATTTGTTATTTATTTGTTTATGTGTTTATTCATGGCCGTTCAAACCAAGGGGGAATATGATGAACCAAATGCTTTTAAGAAGAAGAAGAAGAAGAAAAAAAAAACTTGTACTGCTTGGCTATTTTTCTAACCAAGTTTAGAAAGCTGACTCTGATTCTTCTCTGTGTGTTAGGTGATCAAGCTGATTTTTGAGGAGTTTGACTTGGAGCGAGGCTACGATACTCTAACTGTGGGAGACGGAGCTGTAATCGGCGATCAGCGGACAGTCTTTCATGTGTGAGTACTTTTGTTCCTCATTTGCTTTCTTCTCTGTCCTCTCTCAGACTCCTCCCAGGCTGTGTCTCCCACTCTTAAACTCTCCTCTCTGTGTGCATAAACCTCCTCCCCCATATTCTTTCATCTCCAACGTCCTCTCTTATTTCAGCCCCTACGTTCTCTCCTCCACTGCCGTTCCTTCCTTTAACCCCCCTCTATTTCATCTCATTTCATCACCCCTCTGAGCAGAAGTGTATGGAAGAAAGACCCCAAGCTTTATTGTCAATCACTATGAGTCTCAATGTTAGAACAAGATCACTCCTGCTCCAAAAAGCGAATCACACTTTGATGCCCCATAATGCAGATTTGCGCACCAGATGCTCCGGAAACGTTGCTGAGTGTGTTGTTATTAATTGTGCTGAAATTTATGGTCTTCATAAAGTTTTATCGATGCCGTTTTATGTGCGCTCTCTGGCAGAGGTGTACAAGTGCTTGTGTTCCTTTTGAATGGCCTGGTGTCCCTGGGTGCTTTCAGTCCCCTGATGGTCTAATGTGCTTAATTATCAGGTCTCATAAGCCCTTATGGACCAGTTCCGCAGGTCCCCTAAGGCTAGTGCCTGGGGACTCAGGGAACTCCCAGTGTTCCCTCAGAGGTGACAAATGATGGCGTACATATTGAAAGTGAAGAATCATTTTTTGTAATGTTTGTCTGTTTTATTTTGATTTTAAGGTTGTCTGGGACTACGACTCCAGATCTGGTGGTCAGTACCAGCCATCAGATGTGGCTCAATTTTAAAACGGATGACACGAGTGGCTCCCTGGGCTTCAAGGTTACTTACGAAGGTAAATTGAGGAAACGCTTTGCATTTGGGTTCAGAGTCATCTTAAAGAAATAGTTCACCCAACAGTGAAAATGTTGTCGTCATTTACTCACCCTCCTGTTGTTCCAAACCTGTATGAGTTTCTTTCTTATGTTGAACATAAAAGAAGATATTTTGAAGAATGCTGGAAATTAAACAGTTGATGGCCCCTATTTACTTCCATAGTATTTCTTTCCCTGCTATGGAGGTCAATGGCGACCAACAACTGTTTGGTTCTTCGGAATTCTTCAAGATATCTCCTTTTGTGTTCAACATAAGAAAGAAACTTCCAAACACAGGTTTGGAACGACATGAGGGTGTGTAAATGATGACCAATTTTTTGGTGTGAACTATGTTTAAAGGAATAGTTCATCCAAAAAAAAAATTGTGATCCACATGAAAATTTTCATCCATTTGTCACCCTCAAGTTGTTCCAAACCTCTATGAGTTTCTTCCTTCTGTACACAAAAGAGGATATGTTGAAGAGTACTGGTAACCAAACAGCTGACAATAGCCAACAGAGGCATCATGCCCCGTCAGATTGTTGAGCCAATTTTGAATGCAGCTTCCAAAAGACAAAAAAATCAACACATCAGCTCTGCACACTATTTCCAATCACGCACGATTCTGTTGAGCTTAAGAAAGCAACGGCCAGTCAGAGGTGTTCAGATGAGTCATCGCTGAAATGCCGGTGCTGTGCTCGCTGACTGAACTCTGCTCTCTGGCAAATTCTCTCATCAGAAACAACAAAGTGCAGATGTGCGTATGATGTAACTAAGTAATTCATAACCCGATCTCATGAAAGTGTGTATCAATAGCACGATTTTATGTTTCTATTTGGTGTACTATTTATATGCAGTAATTGACTTTGGCATGCATATGATATGCAGTGGGTAGGATTGAGGTGTGGGGTAGATGCATATTATATGTACAAAAAAAACTGTGTATCATATGCACACCAACAAATTGCATATCATATGCACGTGAAAAATGCGTTTTATATGCACATCAAACACGTGCGTATCATATGCATGCCAAAGTCAATTTCTGCGTATAAATACCACGCCAAATACAAACAGAAAATCGTGCTATTGATTCACATTTTCATGAGACTGGGCTCTTAAGTCAATGATCAATGTTCCTTGATAATGTAAATGTTCTTTGCTCTCTCGTTAAATAAAAAGTCAGTCATATAAAAAATATTTTATGACATGACAAACATATCTGGTTCCTGATAGCCATTGACTTCCGTAGTATGGGTAAAAAAAATACAAAATACTATGGAATTTTCAATGGCAACCATTTGGTTGCGACTATTGCTACAACTACTAATAATAATACTAATTCATTAAATAACATGTTTTTGAATTGTACATGTGTCATGTACAGCAATGTTTATTATGTAAATATTTCATGATTTAATAAAACATTAATATATGTGATAACGTATGATTTAATGTGAGCATATATTTATCACATCCACATATTATTTATTATAATGCAATTTAAAAAACTGATTGACATTCCTTATTAAAACCTCTGTAGATCACCTACAAAATTGTCATTAAGCTCTGGAGAACTGTGATTATACATGTTTTAATTATCATGTAAACAGAGTATTCTCAGTTGAAGACTCTTACTGTGGTTGTCACTGCAATGATGATCTTTCACTGTAATCAAAAAATGCATTATTCTTTTTTCCTCCTCTATTTCTGTATCACCATAACCACTTATGTCTCATATGAATCAGACGGGTGGGCTTCTTTGGGATTCTTTGTTTTCTTTGTTCTTGATTGCATGTAATGTTTAGAGTGAAGCAGACATTTTATAATGAGGTCATTGGCAGAAGTCCACATTGATGTTATACACATAACTGGTCAAATCTCGCACCTTTCAATTTCCTTTGAGCAAATTTCTCAATTTTCTTGTTGCTTCCTGCAATTTGCTGCACTCTTTGGGTATCTACTGAGAGTACGGGAACAGTCTGTTCTTTTTTATTTCCTTTTCACTTTCTATTTCTCGCTTCACCATTATACCTTTAGCACATGTGGCGAGGGTCATCAAAGCAGCCTGTGATCGTTTAACCTTGCTGGAATGAGGGCTATGGGAAGGGAAGGATATCATGCAAGAGCAGCTACTAATTTTCAGTTTTCAGAGTCTATGTCTGATTGGAAACGAGAACACCAGAGCTTTCATCCTGGCCCTCTTTCAGAATTGCACCGCACATGGGGGACTTTGGCACATTTCATAAATTACAAACCAATATTTGCTGTCAGATCCACAATAAGCCTTCAGGTCCTGAGTTTTTTTAAGCATTTTATCCACTGCATAAACATAAGACGAAAGTGGAGCAGTGTTCATACCCCCCCAGCATGATTAAAACAATGAGAGTCACTTAATTAAGTTGAGGATTCTCTTTGAAACTCTGCCTCCCTGCCTGTGGGACAAGATGCACCCCTAAATTATTGCATCTCAGATTTTCAGTTTTGAAGCATAATTGTTCAAAAGGTCAATGCAGACAATGCTAGTTTTAAGCTAGATCCATACATGAGTACATGATATAGCAATTAATTAATTTAATTAATACAAACAAATCACTTATATCAATATTTGCTGAGAAAATCCACCAAACAGTAAAGATCACTGTCGTATGTCCTTTGTCTTTATATAACCTATATGTACGTATATTCTGGTCCAAACTGCTTATGATAGCAGGGACACTTACCTTATCTTCAAGGCAACTGTCTGCAAAGAAGTTAGATGACGTCAAGGTTTGCTGGTCAATCATACCACATGTCAGCATGTTACATTGCTCTGAGGCTAATGGACATCCGAGCATCTTTGACGCTCCATTAAGAACAGGGCATCATAACTGATGACAAACACTCCGTTATTATTATTTTTTTATTTACGATCTGATCTCAGCCATAAAAAATTTAAAAAAAAAAGGCACACAGAAAGCAGGCATGCCAGGGGCATATCCTCTTCTGCTCTACACTAGAGGATTCACGTTTAAAATGTCACTTTAAGATTCTTATTTTCTCACTCATTTTTGTTTTCCTACGCATCTTCTGCATTTATATAACTCATAAATGGAGCTCCAAAGAGAAATTGAATGGTGGTGTGCTGAGGGAACTGTTCATGTCAATGTTTTCATAATATTTTACTGTTGTCAGTAAAAAGAAATATTTGGAAATATTGCAATTTGTGCAATAAAAAAAAAAAAATCTATTTGACTGTATTTTAAACTAATTTATTCCTGTGATAGCAAGGCTGAATTTTCAGCACCATTACTCCAGTCTTCAGTGTCACATGATCCTTCAGAATCATTTTAATCTACTGATTTGGTGCTCAAGAAACATTATTAACAATGTTGAAAAACAGTTGTGCTGCCAAATATTTTATATGGGCGTATGCAGATCTGTATCACAACTTGTGTTTCTGGATATGAATTGTTATACACACTGAGATATGGCTGAATACAGACGGAGCGTAGCCTATTGCCGACCCCAGGTGCATGCTGGGGAAAAAAATAATTCTTAACTCGTATGATGGGCAAAGATGAATGGATTTATTTGCACTCGTGCCTTCCTGCGTTATTAGTAATCCTTCATTAGGAAGTCAATGACTTCATCTGTGTTCTCAGAGTTAAAATAAAATCAAAGTGACATGAATAAATCATAGGAAATTTGAAATGGGTAAATAACAAATGCCACCCCTTATGAAAGTGCACATGTCAGCTCTCAGAGACAGTTTGTTTGTCACCAAGCAGAAGACAGCTGTAACAAAGTGTTAGCTGGGACACTTAAGGAATCACGCATACAAACACTCCCACAGGGATGACTTGCTGCATAACATTTATCAGCTCAGGAGACACTTTCTCTCACAATCCTCTTGCCTTAACTGATTGATATGGTCAGAAGTAAACTCAAGGTGTAAATCCCCAGATAAAGGATAGAGATTCAGTCCAGGTAGAGACCTGTCACCTGTCCATAACTGGACAAATGTTGGCTTCTCTGGCAGTATGTGGAGGTTGGAAGGCATCAAGGCACATCTGAATGTTCATACATCATCTGCTCTGTTAAAGTGACCTAGGCGTCAGAGTCACACCTTTTCAATCAAATATTTGTGTGTAGCATGTAAGAAATAATATATAAAAAATGTATATCGCGTAACCTGGCATATATAGCATACATGAAATTACACCGCAGCAGATCTATACAGGTGGAGCTGGGGAAGGTGGAGGGTTTCTGAAACACGCTGCAACTTCTACAGCAAGCAGTAGCCAAGTATTTAAATGTTAAGCAGCGAGCTCATTGGCTGCTGATGCAACTAGAACCACTCGCCTTGTGAACAATGATGTGATTATATCAGTTAGAGTTAGAAACTCTCGGCCTGCGCCATCTAGAGTTTCATGACAGAACTTTGTATATGTTTCCATAATCAGAACAGAAAATGTGAAAAAGGTCTGTCTAGATATCTCACTCCATTGTTCCCTTTAGCACTCTCTCTCTCTATCTCTTTCAGTAATGGCCTCTTTCTTTTGCTTTGGCCTTGTGATTCTAAATGAGCCCTGACATGTTGAGACAGGTAAGGGTATAAGGGAACAGAGTGAAAAAGGCAATTCATTAGGAGAGCAAGCCATTCACAGATGTCATTGGGGCAGCAATGGAGGTAGCTTGCATGAATATGCTTTGCTGTCAGATGGAGTGAAAGAGAAAGATGCAAAGGAGTTGTATATGCTATGTGTAGGTGTGTGTGCTTATGGAAAAATCATTTGATTCCAGCATATGTGACATAGAGATGGTGACAGACCATATATATCACAGTTTGCAAAAATATTAATCAGCACAACTGTTTTTACCATTGATAATAAGAATTGTTTCTTGAGCAGCAAACTAACATATAAGAATAATTTGACTGGAGTAATGGCTACTGAAAATTTAGCTTTGCCATCAAATTAATTTGTTATAAAAATGTGTTCATTACAAATTAAAATACTGAAAATAATGTATTTTTAACACATATTTGTGTGCTATGCATTTATATGCTTATTACAACATTTATTTATTATAGCAAGATAAATAAAAATGAGAGAGTAATGTAAAGAATGACTAAATAATTAGTATAGGCAAAAATTATAAATGGTCAACCTGGGGTACAGAGATACTGACCTTACATTTGACTTTTCTTTTCTATTATAAAACCTTGATGGAAATTAATTTTTTGCCAAAATGGACCTTGTCCCAAGGTATAAGCTATGTTTCATGCTTATTTTTATTTTTCAGAAATTGACCAGGGTGGATGTGGAGACCCTGGAATCTCAGCCTATGGCAAGAGGGAAGGCACAGGCTTCCGACATGGAGACAAGCTATATTTTGAGTGCCTTCCAGCCTTTGAGCTGGTAGGAAAAAAGAACATTACCTGCCAGAAAAATAATCAGTGGTCAGCCAAGAAGCCAAGCTGTGTGTGTAAGTGACAGACCTTACCCAAAATGCATTACTTTCTACACCCACATGATCACACCTGGGAAGATAATGCACCATTATTACTGTCTGGGCACGTCAGAAAGTGAATTTAATGGCAGTGTCTTTAGTACAGTATGTCCCCGCCGAAACTTCCTTGCACCGGCTGAGCCATTAAATCATTAACTATAACTCAAGTTAAAGCCAAAGCGACAGTTCATTTAATGCATTTAGTTCCTTTATTTACTGTATTGGGGTCTTATAATGAAGTTAACAAATTTAACTGAACTGGAGAAAAAAAAGCTTGTTTGAGAAGTAGGAATATAAAGAGACATGTTTGTAAAAATTCAGTCAGTTGATTTTCTTGTTTGCTACCGCTAAGTAAAGAAAGGTTTTTCCTTAAATTAAGTGTCATAACATACAATGTTGTATGGCAGTTGATGCTTGTACAAATTATTTAGATATTATTGTTCTTTCTCTATTATTTGGATTCATGCATAACGTCAATTTGCCCCAGACTGTAGTCATTTGTTACTATAATGGCTACCATCCTATTACATCAATGGAATTGCAGTTGACTTGCAACTTTGTTTTCTGCTATTTTATGACATTATTATTAGCTCAGACAACAAAGTCGTTCATATGAGGTGGAACTGTAACGATTCGTCTTCAGTCCACCACTGAGCTCATTTTCATTCTCCCCATGGCTATTTAGTGATACTTATTGCCCTCTCAGCCTTGTCCCCAAATCCTGAAAATGAGTTAATGCCTGCGGATATTCCCAGCAGATAAACACTCTCTTTCTCTGCAGCATCTTCAGTCTTATTATCTGCTGCAAGATCACAGTATACCTGTACACTGGGGTGTCATGCACCTAATATTTTTATTCACTATTATTTTAGCCACTCACTTGGTGTGCTTTGTGGGATATATGAGTAAGAAAAAAACGTTTATTTTTTTTGTTTTTAATTAATTGTTCTTTTTGAGGGTAGGGCCTGTTTATTTACCAGGGTGAGGGATTCAAGTTCAGTCTTCCATTGGTCAAAAAACATATAGCCCCACCCCAAAGTCACGCCATTGGTTGAGCCAATGTTGCTGTGTCAGGTTCAACAAATGGATAAATGTTTCAATAGATAAATGTTTCCACAAAGCCAGAGTCATTATACTTTTCAGGGGAAATTAACATACGAATGGCTTGCTTCTGATTATCTTGGCACATAATTCTGGGAGCATGTTACCATCAAATTTCCCAAATCACCTTTAGGAGAAACTAGCAATAAAAAAACGTGATGTACACTCTTAAAAATAAAGGTTCTTTAATGGCATCCTTGGTTCCATGAAGAACCTTTAACATCCATAGGAACTTACGTTGCACAAAACGCTCTTTACAATGGAACAAAAGGTGCTTTAGATCATTAAAATGTCATTCACTCTAAGAAAAAAAAAAGGTTATGTTAAGAACTATTGAGGAACCAAAAATGGTTATTCTATGGCATCACTGCAAAAAACAACAACAACAAAAAAAACCTTATGCAACCTTTATTTTTAAGAGTTTAGGCTATATAAGCAAAAAAGTGAACATTTCAGAAAATGTCTGTTGTCAAGGTCTGAGAGGTCTTATAAGTTGCCGTTACAGATGCTGCTATCACACTGTGCACATCCTCCAAGCTGTAATTTTTCCACTCCTGTCTTGCTGCATTGTTTAAGCAACAACAAATGACCTCCCTATGCATTGTGAATTGATTTTAGCTTCAGTGGCAGTTTTAATCTCGAGTTTGCCTCACAGTTTGACGCACGATACCTCCTGTGCTTTAACGGTTGCTTGTTTTATCTCTTTGTCCTTTTCTCAGTTTCGTGTTTCTTCAACTTCACAACTCCGTCTGGGGTCCTGCTATCACCAAACTACCCTCAGGAGTATGGAAACAACATGCACTGCGTGTGGCTGATCATCGCCAAACCCGAGAGCCGCATCAACCTGGCCTTCAACGACCTGAGCATGGAGAAACAGTTTGACTTCCTGTCTATTAAAGACGGCGGCAAGGCAGAATCACCAATTCTGGGCACCTTTTCTGGAGATGTGCTGCCATCACCCATCACTACCAGCGGCCACGTTGCCCGACTGGAGTTTCTGACTGATCATACGTACACAGAACGTGGCTTCAACATCACTTTCACCAGTACGTTTTAAAGACAGCTCTAGATTCATGAGACTTTTTATTTTCTGTGGTAAAAATGAATAATTAATTCAAGTTATTTTGGGCGAACCTGTTCATACTTTTAAGTCTAACGTCACATTGAAGTTAGAGACCAAAAAGTCAATGTATAATAGATAACAATAGCGTTCAGATGTTTTGTCAGTGGTGGCATGCACCAAATTTGAAAAGTTTCTGGGAGTTAAAAAAAGCTCAGAAGTTGTCTTGTTATATGAGACGGATTACATTTTTTTTTAATTTCCCCTCAGGAGAGAATTGTCTGTATTTCACGACTCAATATCTGTCGTCCTTCGGTAATCACTATTCACGGGGCATAGCGCATGGCAGCGGAGTTGATAGATGCTTGAGTATCCATGTGAGGAAGAACAACAAGAGCCACAGATTTAATTAGAATTTATTTCCAAATACATATATAATTAAATAAAGCCACAGTTAATTGAAGCTGTCGGGAGGTGATCCCACATGGTTTGACTCCCCATTTGGCGTGTTTTTTGGGGAGTGGGAGGGATGCTCCAATCATTCATGTTAATTAAGAAGATGACAAACTCCATCGAAGGGCATGTTGGCACATGATGGTGATGGATTGCATGCACAATCGTTGCGTTTGAGACCCTTTTTGAGAACGGAAACGCAATAAGAGCTTTAAACATTTTAGTTTTACATTGAATGTGTCTATGACAGATGACGCTTTTATCCAAAATGATATATTTTGTCAGTTTTCCTGCATTCCCGGGGAATCGAACCCATGACCTTGGCTTTGTTAGTGGTGTGCTGTACCCGGAATGAACAGATTTTCTGGAGGGATTTTGTCTGCTGGTAATACATCTTCTCTGAAGTCCTGTCGATGGGTACTGAGTAGCTCCAAGCTTCCCACTGAAGCAAGAAACTTAGGGTGGCACATAAATCAATATTTTGTTCTAACTAAAATGAATTAGTGTAGTTATACAGCTGAAACGATGAGCCGAAAAGGCTTCAGTTCAGTGGCCATATTGAGAAACTCCCTCTTTAATTTATATGGGGCCTTGTAAAAGTAATTTATTCATGAAAACAAATTATTTTTTTGTTTGTTTCTTTGTTTTTTTACAAAATGCGGACAGGCACTGGACAAAAAAAAAAAATCATATATATTAGGGCTGCACGATAAATCGCATGCGATATTTAACGCGCATCTTATCAGAAAGCCGGTTCTGTAATCAGCGGTAAATCTCCATCACGTGCGGGCTTTCACATTACGATAAATAAAGTGCTGTTGTTGCTGTGTCCAGCTTTTTGGCCTTTTAGGTTGAAGTTACCTTGCAGTTGTCTTCCATGTTTCATATTCTTGCCTCATTGTTTTTTTTGTTTTTTTCGCTGAAGCTTTCCGGCACAACGAGTGTCCTGACCCTGGCGTTCCAGTAAACGGAAAGCGCTTTGGTGAGAGTCTACAGCTTGGCAGCTCCATCTCTTTTCTGTGTGAGGAGGGGTTTATGAAGACCCACGGATCTCAGACCATCTCCTGCATTCTCAAAGATGGAAATGTTGTGTGGGACAATGCTGTGCCGCGTTGTGAAGGTCTGTCCTCTTTCGAATAAATATGCACATTTCATAATTCACAAGTCGGCTTGTAATAAAAACAAAATTATATACTCTAACTCTGTTTGCACTTTACTGAACTTTTAGGAAGTTTGTTCAATTTGTTTTTTCATTAAGTACATTCGGAGAGAGACATAAATGTTGGTGCTTCTGAAATGTCAGTGGAACAAAAAGTCATAATCTTTACTTTCAGAATGTGCTCCAGAAGTATTAACTGCCTGAATTCTTCCAAATGAAAAACGCATCCTCTTTTTTTTTTTTTTTTTGAATAAAATGCACTGCTGTGTACTACAAATCATTTTATGCCATTTATTGAGTAATGCCTTTTATAGATGCCCTTTCAGTACACAGTTAAAGATGAGATCATCCACCTCAGCCATTGAACACATTCTGTTTTTAGATTTTGCATTTTGAATTTGAATACATAATTGGAATTGAATATGTTGTGGATAAAGCTGCAGCCATCCAATACATCCAGAACAAGATGCAACATTTGAAAATGTAACATCAACACTGCAATACTTCAAACCTGCAGGTTCATAAATTTTGTTGTTTGAATTTAGTCAAGACGTCAATCTGTGATGTTTAGATCCTCTCTTGGTCAAATATTTTTATGCTACGCAATTTTGCAAATTTGTCAAAATCTACTTTATTAAATGTTAATATTCAACATGTAAAAATCACAAAAAAAAAGCTTTGGCCTTAAAATTTGGCAACAAAATAATCTTGACATTTTCTCCTGTTCTTTAGCTCCATGTGGTGGAAACTTGAAGGCTTCTAGTGGCATCATTCTGTCCCCTGGCTGGCCTGAGCTTTATAAAGAGGCCCTCAATTGTGAGTGGATCATCGAGGCTCCGCCAGGATATCCTATTAAGATCATCTTTGACAAGTACGTACAAGACTTCGCTTTCTCTTTTCTGAACTGTCATGTTGTTCTTAATAAGCCTCCCGGTTTCATTTTCCCCTCCTATCTTTCATTCTATTGGTTATCATAATTTCATAAATAGGTCACTATAGCGCACTGCAGATGTTCACTGTAGACTTGAAATAAGAGTATCTGGCTATTTATTTCCCAAGCTATCAGAAGGATTTGTTCTGAATCAATGTAAATATCTCTTACCTCTGCTTTTATAGAATGGCTTTATCTACAGTCATATGTGATTGTTGAACATTTATTAAAAATGGACATCAAATGCCCAATTAACTGCTTGGAGAGTTTCCATTTTGCTTTTGTTTTATTTTGTTTGTTTGGTTATGTTTTCTGATCTTGTTTTATTCTTTTTTGTTTTGTTTTGTTTTTCGTTTGTTTTTGTTTTGTTTTGTTTTTCCGTTTGTTTTTGTTTTGTTCTTGATGTGTATTTTATTTAGTTTTCCATTTTTGTTTTGTTTTATCTTTTATTTATGTAGCAGATGCTTTTATCCTTAGTAACTTACAAATCTTAAAGAAACAGCTAATATATATATATATATATATATATATATATAAATGTATGTATATAGGTATATATAAAAAAAAACTTGCTACGCGTAGTGCGTTGGGCTAACCGAGACTTGTCATAGCACTTGCATTTCATTGCTCTTTTGTTGGTTTTGATTGCTTCTATTGTCCTCATTTGTAAGTCACTTTCGATAAGTGTCTGCTAAATGACTAAATGTAAATGTAACAAATGGACAATTCAACAGCAATTTAACAGGCAAGTTATTTATCTTGAGGCACGTTTCAAACATCGTCCAGGGGTGCATTTCCCAAAAGCATGCTCTAGAATGTCATTTTATATAGTAGCAATAAAATGTGTCTTCAATTACATTAATAAAATACCCAAACTCATTAATCAGAAAGGGTGTCCATATACATTTTAGCATATGGCACGAGACAGACTGATGTAGTCTCATCCACTGATTCTCCTGCTACGTAACTGTTGTATGTGATAGAGTTCTTCTTCCACTGGTTCCCGGGGTTTCTTCATTTTCTGTATGTGTACATGTTTAGTATGAATGTTTGCATCTACCATCAATTGTTGTTGGGAAAATTATTTAAAGGTAAGGCTGGAGGGACAGCTGATGTTTTCCATCTGACTGTGAGTACAGAAAGCAGCAGGGCTTTAGTGGGCTGCTGCTGTTGCAGGAAACTCAAACAACACACAGAGTGAGCTGAGCTTTCAGTTTGAATGATGTAGTATTTATTTTCTAGCTGTAAATATGTGATATCCTGCAGGAACACAAGCGAACAAGACTGTGATGAATCCATGTAGCCTCACTTTGTGGTGAAGCTGCCATGCTGATGCATAGCACTGTTCTGATCCACAGATTCCGGACAGAGGTTAACTACGATGTTCTTGAGGTACGAGATGGACGCTATCCTTCTTCCCCTCTGATTGGCAGTTATCAGGGTACACAGGTCCCGCAGTTCCTCATCAGCACCTCCAACTTCCTGTACCTGCTCTTCACCACTGACAAGAGTCACTCGGACATTGGCTTCCGCATCCGATATGAGAGTATGATGATCTACTATTGCATTTATTAGAGTTTTGATCTGAAAAGGGTCATTTTGGTAACATTTATTTCTATAATATATGTATTCTGTAATTCAAAGAATGTTTACCACGGACCTTATTTTACATATAAATGCTTAATTATATACTTGTTTAGAGAATGCACATGGTAAAATATCACAAAATTATTAATTGCATTGTTCAAATAATAAAAGAAGACACGATAAGTGTAATTCATATTCAAAGTCTCCTACAATGCTCAAAATTTAGTCAAAGCATGCTAGTTAGATAAAGCTTGATATTATCTTCTCTCCAATGCATTTCATGGCTGCAATTACAAGGATCTGATAGCACAGATACCTGTGAATACTATCAGCTATGAAGGCATCATTATAAATAATAGTCACACGCTCTTTAATATGCAGTGATTTTAATCAGGTCCTGTAATTATGATATAATAGGATGGTGATTATGTTGTGAGATGATTTCAGTCATGCGCAAACACATGACACAAGCAACTGTACACGCGTTCATACACACGAGGCTGTAGAATTAGCTCTGTCACAGTATTGTGAACTGAAAGAATGGCTTTTATGCTGGGATGACTCATGTTTGTAACCTTTTCTTGTTATTTCTCTATAAATCTCAGTTCATCTTAAATTATTGAGTACATCAACTCGAGCAGAAAGTGCTGTCGAAGACTTGGTATTACTTGCGTCTACAAGAATGATACAACTTTTGAATGATCCAAATAGGCAGAACATTCCATAAATTTGAGATGCACCAATATTAAAAGTCTGACCAACATGGATAAGCTGATAATTATTTTAAGTTATGGCCGATAACTAATTAAAGGACCATATTAAATGCTATTCTGTTTTGTTAGAATAAAGTACAAATAAAACACTAAAAACTAAAATCAGTAATTTTAGATGTGGATTTATAACAATATGATGTACAACATGAAAAATGGATTTTGAGATTTGCAAGAGTGCATGTAACAGTGTCATTAAATTATTGATGTTTTTAAACATTAAGTGAGCATTATATGACACCAAAGGAAATCTAAATGTAAAAACTGGAAATGACCATTCACAATTAAATATATGTAAATACACATTATATATATATATTGTACAACATAATGGATTTTGAGATTTGCAAGAGTGCATGTAACAGTGTCATTAAATTATTGATGTTTTTAAACATTAAGTGAGCATTATATGACACCAAAGGAAATCTAAATGTAAAAACTGGAAATGACCATTCACAAACAATTAAATAACAGAGTGAGCTGAGCTTTCAGTTTGAATGATGTAGTATTTATTTTCTAGCTGTAAATATGTGATATCCTGCAGGAACACAAGCGAACAAGACTGTGATGAATCCATGTAGCCTCACTTTGTGGTGAAGCTGCCATGCTGATGCATAGCACTGTTCTGATCCACAGATTCCGGACAGAGGTTAACTACGATGTTCTTGAGGTACGAGATGGACGCTATCCTTCTTCCCCTCTGATTGGCAGTTATCAGGGTACACAGGTCCCGCAGTTCCTCATCAGCACCTCCAACTTCCTGTACCTGCTCTTCACCACTGACAAGAGTCACTCGGACATTGGCTTCCGCATCCGATATGAGAGTATGATGATCTACTATTGCATTTATTAGAGTTTTGATCTGAAAAGGGTCATTTTGGTAACATTTATTTCTATAATATATGTATTCTGTAATTCAAAGAATGTTTACCACAGACCTTATTTTACATATAAATGCTTAATTATATACTTGTTTAGAGAATGCACATGGTAAAATATCACAAAACTATTAATTGCATTTTTCAAATTAAGAGACATGATAAGTGTGATTCATATTCAAAGTCTCCTACAATGCTCAGAATTTAGTCAAAGCATGCTAGTTAGATAAAGTTGATATTATCTCCAATGCATTTCATGGCTGCAATTACAAGGATCTGATAGCACAGATACCTGTGAATACTATCAGCTATGAAGGCATCATTATAAATAATAGTCACACGCTCTTTAATATGCAGTGATTTTAATCAGGTCCTGTAATTATGATATAATAGGATGGTGATTATGTTGTGAGATGATTTCAGTCATGCGCAAACACATGACACAAGCAACTGTACACGCGTTCATACACACGAGGCTGTAGAATTAGCTCTGTCACAGTATTGTGAACTGAAAGAATGGCTTTTATGCTGGGATGACTCATGTTTGTAACCTTTTCTTGTTATTTCTCTATAAATCTCAGTTCATCTTAAATTATTGAGTACATCAACTCGAGCAGAAAGTGCTGTCGAAGACTTGGTATTACTTGCGTCTACAAGAATGATACAACTTTTGAATGATCCAAATAGGCAGAACATTCCATAAATTTGAGATGCACCAATATTAAAAGTCTGACCAACATGGATAAGCTGATAATTATTTTAAGTTATGGCCGATAACTAATTAAAGGACCATATTAAATGCTATTCTGTTTTGTTAGAATAAAGTACAAATAAAACACTAAAAACTAAAATCAGTAATTTTAGATGTGGATTTATAACAATATGATGTACAACATGAAAAATGGATTTTGAGATTTGCAAGAGTGCATGTAACAGTGTCATTAAATTATTGATGTTTTTAAACATTAAGTGAGCATTATATGACACCAAAGGAAATCTAAATGTAAAAACTGGAAATGACCATTCACAATTAAATATATGTAAATACACATTATATATATATATATATATATATATATATATATATATATATATGTATATGATATAACACTTTAATTTGTACACTAGTAGTGTTAGTAGCATATAAGTTGCCCTGATACCAAGTTTCTAATGCATTTAGAATAAACTTCTGCCCTGAAAATCATTGGTTGTTTTCCACAATAATATTTGTATATTTTCTCTTCAAGCCTTGCAGCTCCAGTCGGACCATTGTGTTGATCCTGGAATCCCAGTCAATGGTCAGCGGCACGGCAATGATTTCTATGTGGGGGCGCTGGTGACGTTCAGTTGTGAACTAGGATACACCCTCAGTGACCACGAGCCCCTTGAGTGTGAGCCTAACTTCCAATGGAGTCGCCCTCTGCCCAGCTGTGATGGTACGGTCCACTCTTTACCTACTAAAATGGTCACCGCCAGGGAAAAGGACACATTAGAGATAGGTCATTTATTCAAGCGACGTAATCGCTCCCAGACTGGAAGGGCCTTTCCGGTTCGAAGCTACCCTTTCCGCTCCCTTCTCCTATTCCACAAGGCTTTGAATATTTAAGGCCATTATTGATTTTTCCCCTTGGGTAATGATAGGAATAATTCGCCTCCATATGTTGATGTCCTTCAAAAGGGCACTTCCTGTAAAGTTTGTTTCAGTAGGATTGCGCTCAGCATTTTGACAAATAGCCTTTATCTTTTTCTCTTTCCTCTAGCGCTTTGTGGCGGGTTTATTCAGGGGAACAGCGGCACTATTCTGTCCCCTGGATTTCCTGACTTCTACCCCCATAACCTCAACTGTACGTGGATGATTGAAACTTCACATGGTAAAGGTGAGGCCGCTTTTTGAAGCTGGTTCTTTCTTTGATAGTGGAATAGACAGTGTTTTTAAATGAAACACAAACAATAATGTTTCCATGAACACGCATTGTAAACCGTATAAGATGGAAAAAGTATGGATTTAATAACTGGTTGACTTTCTTTTGGCAGCTGTAACCTTATCCAAATGGTTTCTGTAATTGTAGATCACACCTGAACAACAGCCAAGAGGAATTTGCACCATTTCATTTTACAAAAATGGTTCAGTTCAGTTATATTCCTCTATGGCATGAATCACTCTCTCATGAAATCATACCAAATGAGGTCAGGACTACATTCAAATCATGATGGACCACCATACTTAAATTTCAAAGTCTTTTCACTCTAGTTTGACCTCTCCACTGTGGAACATCCACATGTTCTTGTGGACTTGACAAATGCAGCAATGTTTCTTCTTCCACTGTTCTTGTTTAGCGTTCCATGCATCATAATCAGCTTGACAGAAACGTTAACGTGTTCCAGATATTTCTGTAAGTCTTTAGCTGACACTCTAGGATTCTTCTTGCAAGACGCCCACTCCTAGGAAGAGAAGCCGAGCTCGTCACTGATAAACATCAAGGCTTTCAGAGATGCTTTTCGAACCCTTTCTAGCTTTATGCAAGTCAACAATCCTTAATCTTTGGCGTTCGGAGACCTCTTTTGTTGGAGATGCAGTTCACATGAGGCAGTGCTTCTTTTGAATAGAAAACTCCAAAATTGAGCAATTCTTTTTTTATAGTACAGAGCAGCTTTGACTGACATCTTCAATCTCACCTCATTGATTGAACACAGCTGATGCTAACTTTTGGAGGAATCATTAGCCTAGGGATTTGCATACTTTTTCCACTTTGCACTGTGAGTGTTTACATGGTGTGGCATTGCTTGTGCCTTTTGTCTGTTGTGATAAAATTTTAGGACCAGTTGTTGAAAAAGTTTAATCTGGATCAGAATGATCTGGATTTGGAAATCCCATGTTTTGCTGTCCAGGATCAGGTAACCCGTCTTACTTTTGTGCCGGTTTTTCAGAGCAAAATTGGATTGGATCACCCTGATCCAGGTACCTACCTTTTCAGATTTCCAAATCTGGATTACTAGTGCTCTATGGAGCCCTTAAAGAGACATGGTAATGGAAAAATGAGAGATGAGGGGAAAAAAATGCCTATGTTTTGCATTGCATTTACAAAAATAACTACTTCTGACTGGTCCATTTTTGATGATTCTGCCAATGTAGTTTACAATCAGTTTAAAAAAAAAAAAAAAAAACTTTCAATTAAATATAATATTTTTGTTTGATATTGACAGGTTTTTGGGGATTTGGAGATACATTACATGTTAAAATGTTTTATTTTTTGGACCAGTTTTATTACATTTTCTGTATCTGCTGGGATCAGAATAATCCAGTTTTTTTTTTAGGTCAAAAGTATCCGAATCTTACTAAAACGTTCTGAACAACACAAAGTGAGGATTTAATCCAGATCAAAATCAAGATTGGATTTTGTGATCTAATCCAAATTCAGAATCCTTTTTTTTTTTTTTTGCTTTTGAACAACACATTGTCGAGATTTGATCCATTCCAATGGCCAAAATCCGATCAGATTACTTTTGAACAACTGGCCCCAGAAATCCGGGTAAATCTGACGGTACGACATACGTTTTCCTGCAGTTTTATGTGATTGAAGCCTTTGTGAATTTATAAACAGTTGATCTATATATCCAGTGTTTTTTTCCACCTCTCAATCTCTACAGGTGTCCAGTTTACCTTTCACACTTTTCACTTGGAGAGTCCACACGACCACCTTTTAGTCACAGAAAATGGTAGTTTCTCTCAACCCTTGTGGAGATTGACCGGGTCTACACTGCCGCCCCCTCTCAGCGCTGGACTTTTTGGCAACTACACCGCTCAGATCCGTTTCCTCTCTGACTTCTCTGTGTCCTATGAGGGCTTTAACATCACTTTCTCAGGTAGAGACCTTTGCACAGCAGCTTAAACTGCATGACATTTATAACAGAAGAAGCTACAAAATATCAATCCTTCTTCTGTTCCCCTCAGAATACGATCTGGAGCCTTGCGAAGATCCCGGCGTCCCCCCCTTCAGCACTCGTAAGGGGCTGCAGTTCGGGGTGGGGGACGCGCTAATCTTTTCCTGTTTTCCGGGATACCGTCTCGAGGGGCCTGCGAGGGTGGTGTGTCTAGGGGGGCGTCGGCGGGTTTGGAGTTCCCCTCTGCCAAGGTGTGTTGGTAGGTGGTCACATGCTTTTCATTTTGCTTTGTTTGCAAATTATACAACATATTTCCCCTCATGTGCTCAGACACACACACACACACACACACACACATGCTGAAACTTCATATCTCAAAGTAAAAGACTAAAGCAGCACCATTTTTAGGAGTTCTGCTCAAATGTTCAAAAAAGAAAAAAGGTTATGACTCACCATCTGAAAATAAAACCACAGCACCAGCCCTAAATTTAGTCTAATGCTTAATCAGCATTAATGTAATGGTAGATATCAGCATACAAGTATCTTGGAGACCAGACTTCTTCAATTTAATTCCTGCTGGAATGGCTTAGATGTTACATTTAGAATGTAATTTCTTAACATTATGATTTTGACATTCCGGCTGAAGCAAGTAATTAGGTATTATGTATTTCTGCAGCAATATCTGGCTTATCCTTGCTTCATATTTTTTTACCGCTCTTGTGAAACTAGGTCAGCTCATATGTAAACATATGTTTATGATTTTGTGTCAACGTCCTTGTATTTAAACTTATTTAAATAAATAACATATGGTTTACTTCACTTAAGATCTGTTGGGTATGACCGTTATTTCTTCCAAAAACATCATCCAGAACACACCCAATATTTTTCTTTTTAATGTTATTTAAGAAAAATTGTTATTACAAGGGATGCATGATATATGTTATTGGCTGATATTGGAGATTTTATTTATTTATTTATCAGGGTATTTAATAATGCTTGCTCATTAACCCTTTTTACATTTAGATTGCCTTTGCTCTCACTTAAAATTAATATTTAAATACACTAAACTAGTAAAACTGTTAATTGTAATATTTATAAAATCTTAAAATTAGTATATGTGATGCCTAAATTCACTTGTAGCATTTAAAACAATTGATGTATCAGTTATAATCCGTAATATCACAATAATTATTAACTTACAGGTAAAAGTAGCTATAGATTTAAATTTAATTTGTGTGGTTCAATATCCGAGCAAAATTTGGCAGAGAAATTGACTTGCACTCATTCACAAACACACACCACCCCCTGACTGCCAGCATGAGTGTATAAGTATGCTTGTGTTTATACTGAGATCATGGGTCGTTTGTCAGAGGTCATCTGACTTCTTACCTCCCTTGCTGCAGCTGAATGTGGATCGTCTGTAACCGGGAAACAAGGAGTTTTACTCTCTCCCAACTACCCTGGTTACTATGGTAACAACCATGAGTGCATCTACTCCATCCAAACCCAAACCGGTAAAGGGATCCAGCTCAGAGCGCGGGATTTCCGCCTGGAGGAGGACGACTTGCTTAAGGTCTTTGTGACTTAGTGTGCATTCGTACTTATGTGTAATGTGTAATGTTGGTTTGTAAATTATATGATGAATGTATGTGACTGTTTTGTGTGTGTTCCAGGTGTATGATGGTAGCAGTAACAGTGCCAGACTGCTGGGCACCTTCACAGGCAGAGAGATGATGGATGTCACTCTAAACAGCACGTCCAGCACCATGTGGCTGGAGTTCATTAGCAACAGTGATAATACCAGCAAAGGCTTCGAGCTGCACTTCACCAGTGAGTAGCACACTGACACCTTGCAGCCATTACACAGCAGTACGTGTGTGTGTGTGTGTACACATAAATAGATGGATAGATAGATGGATGGATACCTATCTACCAAGCACAGGAGAGGTTTTGAAGGACACACTCTTTTTTCCCTGTCTTATTGCAGGTTTTGAGTTGGTGAAGTGTGAGGACCCAGGTGTGCCTCAGTTCGGTTTTAAACGGGAGGACAAAGGTCACTTCGCAGGCAGCACGGTGTCATATAGCTGTGATCCTGGCTACACTTTAAAGGGCCCGGAGGTTTTGACATGTCTCAGAGGGGAGAGGAGAGCATGGGACAGCCCACTCCCACTGTGTGTTGGTAAGACGCTACTGAATACTCAGCCTCATTCACACTCACAATTACACACTTCTTTAAGCAGTTACTTTAGGGACAACATTTCTAACTTTGATACGATAACTCGAAATATATTGATATTCAATAGAATATTAAGAACGTTTTTATTTTATTTTTTTATTAAAAGATAAATATAGCAAGGCTAGAACGTGACAGTGAGTTATATTTTTACATTAATGAAAACTTACAATGTACACTTTATTTAATTAGTTTTTTTTTTTTTCATTTTATTTTATTTATTTATTCATTCATTTTATTTTATTTTTGTGGTGTTGTTTTTTTGTTGTTTTTTTGTTTTGTTGGTGTAAGCATTATGGAGCACTATTATAAACACATGCAATGTCTGTTTCATTCATACTGGAAGCCGGAGGGTGCCCTTATGCAGAAAGTCCAAATCTGCCTCACAGAAGTAATATAACTTATGGCATTCCAGGAAATCCTAATTACTGTATTTTATCACAAACTTTAAATCTGCTGCATGGTCTTGTATGATACACTCTGAGAATGTGCTTCATGAATTTGATCCCCCAAGTCAGAGAGAGTTCTATTAATTGGAGTGCTTATGATTTTTTCTTCATGTGTATGTGTCTTCTACCACCCACCCTTATACTCAGCCTGGGTTCTCCTCAATGTGAGTTTATCACAGACCTACTTTTCAAGGCGTTCTGCAATGCTGTTGAATTTTGAATTATGGTGCTTCCCCACCTGAGCCTATGGAGACCTTTAGGCAAAATTGAAATGCCCATATACAGAGGAGGAATGGAACTGTAAAGGCATGAGCAAATATTTTTCATCCGCCACAACAGAAAACTAACTAGTGCTCTAGAAAACAGAGGGTGGACAGTGAGAAATGAGAAGTTGGTGAGAATAAGAGAAAAGAGGGAGGGGAAGAGAGAGCAAGAGAGAATGAGAGAGCATGAAATGTAGTTTTATGACTTACGAAGCAGGTCATATCAGGAGTTGAAGAAGATGGGTTTGTTTTATTGTGATTTATGGCTCTGCTGTCCACTATGGGAACATTCGTCAGAACGAAATTCATATGAGATGACAAAAAAAGCACAAAAAAGTGTGAGAAAGACAGATGAAAAAAAAAATAGCTTGCAATATATACATCTTAATGATAGATAGATAGATAGATAGATAGATAGATAGATACTTTCTTTCTCTTTTGCATTCAACAATTAATTTTTCCCTCTGTGCACTATCAAAAGAAAAGATCAAAAGTTTGTCTCCATTTCTATGTTTATACCTTTCAGTATGTGTGACAATGGCTTGAGAGGCTGAAGTGTGCATTTGAACACATTGCACTTGCATTCTGTGACTATATATGTGTATATGTGTATATCTCACATGACTACAAGCGACGGCCACCGTGTAATTTGTGTCATTGCTTGTCCAAGACTGAAGGAGAGATGTGTGTAGGGAAAGTGTCTGGAACAAATGTGTGAAATGCCCCTCCACTGGCTTGATTGAAGTAAAGTTGAACTTCATAGCTATACTTCAGTACTGTTTTTGGGATGTAGTACTAGATTACTGTTGATCAATACTTGTATTCTTAACATTTTGTACGGAGGGAAAAAATACTTTATTTTCGTTAAGTTTCAAAGCTTCAGAATGTCCAATTTGTCCTTTCGAAATGGCATTGTCTACAATTAACTATATACAAATAAAGTAAAATAACAGTCTAAATAAAATTAAATATAAAATAAAATAAAAAATATTAAATGCATATGATATCAGATAAATATGAATTTAAAAAAAATCAAGAAACAGGTTCTGGGATATTAAAATTTCAAAATCTTTTGTGTGGTAGAGCCAAATTGTTAAAACAGATTACTCATCTGTTTTCATGAAAAGTTTAACATTTGTGAGTAAACCGGTTTGTTTTGCATTTTAAAAAACGGACTAAATCGGTTGCTTTACAAAATGAATGCACTTTTGTTTAATTGCCCTGTGTTTTTCTTTTTTAGGCTATCTCTCTGGCTACCTATCAAAACTCAACAACATTATCAGTTGTATATGTACTGTATAAAGTATATTGTAAATATACTGTATACACACAGTCTATCGGGCAGCTCCTCATATATAATCCAATTATGCTTGAATGCATCAGGTTTGAATTAGATTTTGAAATCACATTTTCAATGTGGACTACAAATATGAATGAATGCCAATAACTAAAACATTTCAGGTCTCGGAATTTCCTCTGTATTCTGTATACAAACTGATCCAGTTCCAGGGTATATATGTGTATGTATGAGTTTATGCTGTGTAAGGGCACACGCATTTGACCTCTGGGATGATGATGACGATGGCAGGGGTTGGATATAACACTCTTATGACTTCCTGATCCAGGAAACTGGAACTGTCACACGCACTGGCCCCATCCTCCTGACAAACAAGTGATTTGTACCCCTGCTGCCCACCACCACCAGCACCACCATTGCCCCAGTGTAAGATGGATAGTCATGTCTGGGGCAGGACATATTACCAACACTATCAGTGATATTAGCCGAAGGAAATATGCCCTCCCCAGGGAAGGCTTAATCCTGGAGGTGATATACGGCCATATTATTCTGCTCATCACTCATAAAGCTCTGCTCAGTGCTGAATGTATTCTTTTAAAATGGAAAGTTATACGCGTCCCTGCCACCTGATGATGCATCACTGCACAGCACACCGTGTACCATCCTTGCTTCAGGGATTTAGATACGAATCCAGAATCCCTTACGGAAGCGGACATGTCACTTAAAGACACTTTATATATATTTATATATTGATATTTATATATCGATTTTAAGTTTTCAACTGTGAGAATATTTATACCCAAGACCTGAAATATTTGTCCACATTGAAAATGTGATTTCAAAATCTAATTCAAACCTGATGCATTCAAGCATAATTGGATTATATATGAGGAGCTGCCCGATAGACTGTGTGTATACAGTATATTTACAATATACTTTATACAGTACATATACAACTGATAATGTTGTTGAGTTTTGATAGGTAGCCAGAGAGATAGCCTAAAAAAGAAAAACACAGGGCAATTAAACAAAAGTGCATTCATTTTGTAAAGCAACCGATTTAGTCCGTTTTTTAAAATGCAAAACAAACCGGTTTACTCACAAATGTTAAACTTTTCATGAAAACAGATGAGTAATCTGTTTTAACAATTTGGCTCTACCACACAAAAGATTTTGAAATTTTAATATCCCAGAACCTGTTTCTTGATTTTTTTTAAATTCATATTTATCTGATATCATATGCATTTAATATTTTTTATTTTATTTTATATTTAATTTTATTTAGACTGTTATTTTACTTTATTTGTATATAGTTAATTGTAGACAATGCCATTTCGAAAGGACAAATTGGACATTCTGAAGCTTTGAAACTTAACGAAAATAAAGTATTTTTTCCCTCCGTACAAAATGTTAAGAATACAAGTATTGATCAACAGTAATCTAATACTACTTCCCAAAAACAGCACTGAAGTATAGCAAAGTACAATTTTACTTCAATCAAGCCAGTGGAGGGGCATTTCACACATTTGTTCCAGACACTTTCCCTACACACATCTCTCCTTCAGTCTTGGACAAGCAATGACACAAATTACACGGTGGCTGGTGTTTGTAGTCATGTGAGATATTCGTGTCACAGCACGCAAGTCAATGTGTTCAAATGCACACTTCAGCCTCGCAAGCCATTGTTATACATGCTGAAAGGTATAATCATAGACACGGAGACACTTTTGATCTTTTCTGCTGGTAGTGCACATAGAAAAAAAATGAATTGTTGAATGCAAAAGAGAAAGAAAGTAAGAGAAAAGGGAAAATAAATAAATAAATACATAAATAAACTGGTGTGAGAATCTTATTGCATTGAATTCTTTTCTTAATCACTACTTTTGTATTAAGTTTACTTTCTTAGCCCACTAGCTAACAGTGTTTTTTTTTTAGAGAATGAGAGAGCATGAAATGTAGTTTTATGACTTACGAAGCAGGTCATATCAGGAGTTGAAGAAGATGGGTCTGTTTTATTGTGATTTATGGCTCTGCTGTCCACTATGGGAACATTCGTCAGAACGAAATTCATATGAGATGACAAAAAAAGCACAAAAAAGTGTGAGAAAGACAGATGAAAAAAAAAATAGCTTGCAATATATACATCTTAATGATAGATAGATAGATAGATAGATAGATACTTTCTTTCTCTTTTGCGTTCAACAATTAATTTTTCCCTCTGTGCACTATCAAAAGAAAAGATCAAAAGTTTGTCTCCATGTCTATGTTTATACCTTTCAGTATGTGTGACAATGGCTTGAGAGGCTGAAGTGTGCATTTGAACACATTGCACTTGCATTCTGTGACTATATATGTGTATATGTGTATATCTCACATGACTACAAGCGCCGGCCACCGTGTAATTTGTGTCATTGCTTGTCCGAGACTCAAGGAGAGATGTGTGGAGGGAAAGTGTCTGGAACAAATGTGTGAAGTGCCCCTCCACTGGCTTGATTGAAGTAAAGTTGAACTTCATAGCTATACTTCAGTACTGTTTTTGGGATGTAGTACTAGATTACTGTTGATCAATACTTGTATTCTTAACATTTTCTACAGAGAGAAAAAAAATACTTTTTATTTCTTACTGTTTAATTTCTTCAAACCTTCAAAGTGTCCAATCTGTCCTTTCATCAGAAAAACAAAAAGCGCTAACAACCCAATCAAAAATCAAACTTTTATTTAAAAGACCCAGTGAAATCCATTTTAATGTAAAATGTAACTGGCCTCAACTATAGTCATTTGTCATTGTGAAGAGATGTTTCATCAGCCACTTTAAGACCTTGAGTCTTTGGCCTAAAGCAGTACGTTTTAATTACTGTATAACCATCGTTGAACATAGATGGTCATGACCGAAATGCCAATGTCTAAAAAAATAAAATAAAATAAAATAATGCGTATGATATCAGACAAGTAATAAAGAAAATAAAAAAATAAAATAATTATTAAAAAAAACAGGTTGTGGAATATTCAAATTTCAAATTAACATAGTTTGTGTGGTCAAGCCAAATTGTTAAAACAGATTACTCATTTGTTTTCATGGAAAATTTAACATTTGTACGTAAAACAGTGTATATTTTAGATATATAGACTTAGTTTATCAGGCCACTCCTCAAATAAAATAAAATAAAATAATTTAAATAAAATATAAAATAAAGGCAGCTTGAATAATTAATAAGAGGGATTTACGCTGTATTCTGTATGCAAACTCATTCGGTTCCAGTCCATGTCTAGAGGGTGTATATGTGTATATACAGTATGAGTTTATGCTGTGTAAGGGCACATGCATTTGACCTCTGGGATGATGATGACAATGGCAGGGGTTGGATATAACACTCTCATGACTTCCTGATCCGTGAAACTGGAACTGTCACATGCTCTGGCCCCAACCTCCTGACAAACAAGTGATTTGTACCCCCACTGCCCTCCACCAGCACCACCACCATTTCCCCAGTGTAAGATGGATAATCATGTCTGGGGCAGGACATTTTACCAACACTATCAGTGATATTAGCCAAAGTAAATATGCGCTCCCCAGGGAAGGCTTAATCCTGGAGGTGATATACGGCCATATTATTCTGCTCATCACTCATAAAACTCTGCTCAGTGCTGAATGTATTCTTTTAAAGTGGAAAGTTATTCGCGCCCCTGCCACCTGATGATGCATCACTGTACAGCACACCGTGTACCATCTTTGCTTCATGGATTTAGATACCAATGCAGAATCCCTTACGGAAGCGAACCTGTCATTTAAAGGTTTTTTTTGTTTGTTTGGCAAACTGATTGTAGGTTTTTAACACCCGATGTTGTCGTTATTGGCATTCATTCATATATGTAGTCCTCATTAAAAATGTTATATCAAAATCGAATTCAAACCAAATAGGCCTTAATGTAAAATGGGACAAAATATATTATATTATATCATATCATATATCATATTTAATTTTTTTATATGTATTAATTAAAATTGTACAATATAATCTATTTAACTATTGGTCTCTGACCTTTGGGCCCAACTGTGTTTGTTTGTTTCTTTTAAATTTTTATTTTTTTATTTATTTATTTTTTTTAAGATGTACTGTTTGTGCTGCAAAGTTGTGAGCTGTCATTGAAGGATTGCACCTTTGTTTATCTCTTTCTTTACCCAGCCGAGTGTGGAGGAACGATTAAAGATGAGCCCGTGGGCCGGATTCTGTCTCCTGGTTACCCAGCTCCTTATGAGCACAACTTGCACTGTGTCTGGACCATTGAGGCGGCACTTGGAAGCACCATCGGGTGGGTATCTACTCTTCCATTACCCCCCTCCCCACCATCTGTCTCTTCATCTTTCTGTTTTGCTTTTGATATCTTCATCTAACCTCTAAATGTAACTTCCATCCAATATCTTCGACCCTGCTGTCGATCCTAAGCTCTAAAAATGTCCTTAATTGAGTCATCTCATAAAAGAAATACCATTATAGTACACCTTATATATAGTACCATAGTGGGGGTGTAATAGATATGTTTACTTGGCTAAATGGAGACTTTCCGTTTTTATATACCGCTAGTTAATAACTCATACCTGAACTTTCTGTGTTTTTACAATTTTAAAAAACTTTATTTACTGTTCTTACAAATGAGGACATGCATACTGTGCACTGTATATAATATATATTTATAATATATAATACTATATATTACAATTAAACAATAATATTAAAACATTTGAACAATTCTAAACATTTTTAATGACATGATGATAAAGTGGCATCATTTGACCTTTCAGAAGAACCAAGTTCTCGCATTTACCATTTCATATATCAGAAGTCATAATTGAATGCTATTGATTAGGCCATTACCTCCGAGAAGTAGATGGAATTTTGTTTTGAAATGTTCAAATTTAGATATCCCTGCATAGTAAGTGTTGTTAATTTAGGTTAAGATGACAATGCCATTTATTAATATTCTATCAAGAGATTTCTTGGTTACTTTCCAAATTGGAAGCCCCTTCCTGCCACTGAATAAGAAATAAATTAGTGCTGTCAAATGATTAATTGCGATTAATCGCATCCAAAATAAATGTTTTTGTTTGTTTGACAGCACTAAAATAAATGTTTATATCTTGCAAAGTTTACATCTCACAATTCTTTTTTTTTTTTTTCAGAATTGCTAGTTATAAAGTCAGAATTGTGAGATATAATCTTGCAATTATAAGAAAATGTCAGAATTGTGATTTGACTTTTTTTTCCCTCAAAATTGGACTTTATAACTCGCAATTGCGGGTTTATACCTCTGAGAAAATAAGTCAGAGTTGCAGGATATAAACTCACAATTTCAAGAACAAAAATCAGAATTGCGAGATATAAACTCGCGATTACGAGGCAAAAAGTCAGAATTGTGAGATAAAAAAAAAAAGTTGCAGTTATCTTAGTTTTAGTTCATTGGCAGAAACAAGCCTCCTCAGAAAACACACCCATTTGATCAAATGCCTCAGTATGTCAAGGGCTTCAGACTCATTCTTCCCACTGGTCGCTCTTTTGCGACTAACTTTCTCAGTTAGAAAAGTAAAACTAAATTTGCTGTCGGTTCACCTTCTCTGGTTTAAGAAGCGGTCTTTTACTTTACTTTAGCTTGAAAACCATCCATCGTTTCCTCAATATTCGCGCCATTTTTGCTGTGCGCACCTTCGCGCTCATCCTGGCTCGGCAAGTATAAACCAGGCTCTACACTCTAAGCGCTGCGCAGTTCAAACGAGTAGCGCGGTTTCGTTATGCTTTCAGTTCCGTTCGCTGTTTGATGTTTCTCATAAAAACAGAGACTGACTGGATGCGCCGTTAACGAAATCGCCTGTGGATTAATTTTAAATATAATTATATTATAATTTTGCAGTCGCTCCAGTGCAACCTCTAAAAAAAATTTGTCGCACCAGCAGGAAAAATGGTCGCAAAATGCGACTGTTTGGTTGCAGTCTGGAGCCCTGAGTATGTCCATCCTTTTTACCCTTTGTCCCTCCACTCTTGCCATACTCCGTCTAATTGGTTTGATGGTGAATTTGTCAGCTCTCGCCTTAGCCACAAGCGTGGATTGGCTGGCAGGCCGAGCTCTATCTCCATGCATGCCAGTATTTTTCATCGTGTTGTCACAGTCAGCAGGACTCAGAGAAGCTAGGAGGACATTAACACTTTGGCAGTCCTACAGGCTGACCTCTTCCCTTCCCCAGCAAATCGCTCCCTTTCGCACTAATGAATGAACATGCCCCCTTGTTAATTGCCACTCGTTTCGCCAGCGTAATTTTGCATGAAATCTCGCAGCCGAGCTCTGCCTAATTTGACCGGGGCTTTAATTGTGCTGTTTATCAGATACTTTCCCCGCCCTTCATCTAGACACGTTAAGAGCTCCCAGACACTGCTTTCTTGCTGTGTTAAAAGTGGTTCGAAATTGACATTTGATTTGGTGTTGCTGCGTCGAAGGCTCTGTAAGGTGCCTTGAAGATGTGAAGAGCTCAATCAAATTTCCCTTTTATCCTGTGTTCTTTGTGTCCATAAATAGTTGGAAATGAGCAGTGAGGTGAGTGTAATTATATCATAAGGGTTATTGAGCATCTAACGTTGGTACACCCCTCCAGATACTCGCGCCAGATGAGCAGGCCACATGTAATAATTGAGGTCACCTGTCCTTTTTTTGTATAACCGTGTAATTTAATACAGTCTGATACTCAGATGTTGCCTGCTTAAAGCTTGTACTTAGTCACTGTCATGTAATCACTGATGCAATCATGGCCATAAAAGGCCATGTGATTACAGTGTACTTAAGCACATTGTGAAGCAGAGCGCCTGAACCCCTCTTAACTCCCAAAGCACTGCAACGAGTGGCCTCTCATGGGTTATTATATATGAAATGTTCATTCACATATATATTTAATATGGTTTAAAAGTTTGGGTCAGTAAAATTGTATTATTATTATTATTATTATTTGTTGATATTATCATTGCATATTATAGTGTATTTTATTATTATTATTATTTATGTATTTATTAATTAAATTTTTATTATTATTTTATAAGTGTCCTATGCTAACCAAGGCTGCATTTATTTAAACATAATAGTGTTTTTATTAAATATTATTACAATTTCAAATAATGATTTTCTATTGTAATATATATTTACATAAAAATAAATAAATATAAATTAATTAAAATAAAATGCACCGCATTCCATGCACAGGCAGGTTTGCCTTTTCTAGTATGACATGAAGATATCAGAAGTGTTTACCACTGAAATCTGAAAACACTAAAGGTAAACATAGCTGAGCGGGGGTGGGTTTGACTTATTAAAAATATTATTAGTTGGAAATCATGTTTCAATACTGTGGCCGGTAAGCCGCAGAGAACTCTACACCTTCCTCTCCCCTTCTGATAAAACATAGTACTCATATCATTTATTTTAAAAGCCTGTTGGCAAAAGTAAACAGCTGTTACAGTGTGTATTTGTGTGTGATGTGCTGTTTATTTATACATCTTTAGTACATGTATCTTTATATGAGCACATATGAGTACTGCCGGTCATACAGTATAATAAGGTGTTAGAATGTGTCTGTGTTTACCCTCTTTCTGTACTTTATGCGTGTTTATTAGATCCCCTTTCACGGGCACACGATAATTAATAGCTTGGCTCTCTTCCAGTCTCAGACCTAGTTCCCCACTGTAAGGTATGCACATACATTTCTTTGATCTTATCTCGAGCAATCAATTATTCAAGATCATTTCCAATGCATTAGGATTGGGACAATGTCTTGCAATAATACTAGGACTCGGTTAAGGCAGCATTCAGAATATGCTCTCCAAAAAGATGAGCTACCATTAAGCACCGCCTGCAACACACTTTGGAGTGTTATATTTTTCAGCTTGATGGATTTTTTTTTTTTTAATTGGGTAGACCACAGTATAAGCAATACAGTATATATCCCTATATAACGGGTGATACATTTGTACTGTCACAGGGTGTATACTGTGATACCGCCCTTCCCCCGCTGTCCTGTCCCGGTGGACTTCCTTATCCAGAGGGGCTGATGGCAGTGTCTGAGTGTGGAGACATAAAAGGATGTGCAAGGGTGGACTGGGATGTTTGTATGATGTGTCAGGATGCTGGTGGGGGGGTTCATGAGGCAGGGGGTGTAGGCGATATTTCATCGTTCTTTCATCAGAGACACTTCTCCACATCTGAGATGCCTTTGTTTGGCAAAGGTGATAATTACTTTCAGCAGCCACTTCACACACACATGCACCACGCACACACACAGACAGATATACTGCCTAGCCCCAAATCTTCTCATCCACGTGGGATTAGACATCGGTTAAGCCTGCTGTTCCAGAGCCAGTTTGGAACATTCGAGTTGCAGATCAAAGGACCGCACTGTCACGCTCAAGGCTCATCTGCAGTCACGAAAGAAATCTGAAGAATTAACGGAAACTGGGGTCCCACTTCCCTCCTTCCCTATTCTGCTGTTTTATCCACCTCTTTTTCTCTTCCGCCAAAGCCTTCTAGTCATACATTATCTCTGTTATCTTCTCACCTCTGTCCCATTTTGTCGGTTAACACACTTTTTTTTTTTACTTGTCTTGTCCTATTACTTTTTCCCCACACTCTTCTCTATTTATTCTCCTGCAATCTCTTCTTGTAATTTGCTGGTCTACTCTTTATTTTATTTTATTTTATTTTATTTTATTAATTTGATTATGGTGAATTAAAATGGCTTGTGTTGCAGGTATATTACATTATTTTTTTCAGTTTTCTGCTTATTTTTTTATTTTTATTAATTGTAAATATTATTATTACGTTTTAATTGTAGGATTTTAAGGCTGGTGAAGTTAATATGGTAACTTATAGTTTAAAACATACAATAATTGTTTAGCAGATTTAAAGTAAGTTGTTGTGATACATCATGAAAAATGAAATTGTAGTATTTTATTTTATTATTTTATTTTATTCCAAAAATAACACACTTTTCACTGAGACATGCAGGTTTTGCCATCTGAATTGTGCTAGTGGCCTTTTTTTTTTTTTGCAATTTCAGAGTAAATATTTCTCTCACTGTAACAATAATGTAAGATACGAAAATGGATATCACAGTGGTAAAAATGTTGGCTTTGCAGTGAGGTGTTTTGCTTTTAATCCATGTAATAGTTGCCTGGCTAACAATAGTCTAGGGAACTGAGAGGTACAAAAACTCTTCAAAATAAAAAGATGTGTTGTCATGCGGGATGCTTAACATCATATTTAAGGACAGTATTGCAGTA